TTTTTTTTTCCAACTACATATATATAAAATCTCCAAAACTAGCCAATCTAAAGGACAGTGCTTACTACTCAGAATTAACTTCAGCTGTTAATTCACATGCATTCACATTCCTATTCCATGCTGGCTCCTATAGAGCTTGGAGGTACAGAGCTGAATAAGACATGGGCCCCTCCCCACAAGGGACTCCACTGAAAGGCAAATATGCCCATAATATAGAACAGTATTAACACGCAGATATTTGCTTCAAACGTGTTACAGATGAGTGAGATAACTTGCCGTTGGTTCATGGCTAATTAGAATATGATCTGATGTAAGTGCAGTGTGTTTGTAGTTATGGAAGTAGTCACCTCGCCTCGCCTGCCTCAGACTGGGAGCACACAGGGTACTTCCTGTGGCTGGAATGCTTTGCCTACTGCCCGCCTCCACTGCCCAACCTGACTAAATGGCCTCTCCGCAGAGCCCAGCTCCCGTGTCGCTTCTTTAAGCTTCCCTACCTCCCCATCTGAATGAGAGTCACCCAGCAGTTACACTCTCGTGGAAATCTGTTTTTGTGGGGGTTTTTTATCCTCACCCGAGGATATTTTTCCATTTATCTTCCGATAGAATGGGAGGGAGGGAGACACATGGACTGGCTGCCTCCCACACAGCCCTAACCAGGGCTGGGGGCAGACCGCAACTGAGGTACATGCCCTTGACTGGAATCAAACCCACGACTCTTGGTCCACGGGCCAACACACTACCACTAAGCCAAACCAACCAGAGCTGTTTGGTTTTTTTAAATGAGTTGTTTAATGTTTGTCTCTGTTATACTGTCAGCTTCCAAGGGCAGGGCTGTGTTTGTGGTTTATCCACCAGTGTGGATCCAAACAGTAGAGCCTCACGTATTTATTGAATGCAGGAATGAATGAGCTCACTATGTGCTAGGCACTGCACTGAAATTTCACAGACGACATCCTATTGAATCCTTATAATCTTCTGAGAGAGATACTGATGTCTGTTTTAAAAATGAGAAAATAACTCTCCCTCAAATGAAGTTTATCTATGATCTCATAGCTAATATGTGGCAGAGGTAGAATTTGAACCCATTTTATAAACTGCTAACTATAAACCCTTCTTTGGCTACCTGAAGGTAAATGGCTCCAGTATTTTTGTTTAGTTTTCTGTGTGTAACTAACAAAGCACACTAACTGTTAACCAGAACTGTGTTAACTTTGATTTTACATATCTGTGTTAGTTTAGTGACATTCATAGTAGGATTCTGTAATACATTCTGAATCACATAAAAGGAAATTAGGTGAGTCAGAATTTTAGATGGAGAGAGAAATGTGGAGATCAAAGCCTCTTGTTTTATAGGTGAAACTGAGACTAAAACAATGGGGTAACTTGTTCAAGGTCACATGCAGGTCACCTAGAAGCTAGGTCTCCGAATTCCTAGTCTGGCAAAAACATGTTACAATATCTCTATTCAGTTTAGGGTAGTTTCCAAGTACATGTTTTTATATTCCCTTTCTCTTTTGGACTCTAGCCCAGAAGGCTATATTCATTCTCTTGCCATACTAAATAGTAAAGTGGTTACTGTCGACCAAGCTACCTAGATAAAGTTACCAGGTAAGGGTAGTTCACAGACATTGTACCTTTCTTTGGTACTTTCTCAACTTTCTTTTTCATGGCCTCATTTTGCCATCTCATTGACACCAAGATAAATAAACTCGGAGTTACATCTCTACTTGCAGGTGATACAAAGGCCTGGTGAGAATGAATGAGTTGACTAAAAAGGTCTCAGAGTGTGTTAAGGAGGATGCTGGAGCTCGAGCCTCTGGACCACGGGTCAGCAAACTGGTCAACACCGCCTGATTCTATAAATAAAATCTTCCTGGCACACCGCCACACCCATTTATTTACATATTATCTTTGGCTGTTTTCACACCACAACAGCAAAAGCTAGTAGTTGTGACACACCTTGTGGACCACAGCTGAAATATGTACTGTATGGCCATTCACAAAAGAAGCTTGCTGCTCCTGCTCTAGACTCCTGCACTGCGGTCCTGCTGTCACCTGGGAGACACCTGCTGCCTCCAAGCTGTCTTCCTCCATATCTCCGTTGATTGGGAAGGATCTGTGCTTCTGGGGTAGTTTTCCATTGAACGATGTTCTAAACCTGCCAGCTTACAAAAGATTCATGCCAGTTCTTCTGAGCAAAAGAGAACACATTCCAAAGTTAAGGAATTACCCCGCTCCAGAAGACTATGTCATGAGGCATAAAAAACAACCAGTCAACTTAATGGTAACAGATAGTACACAATGAGTATAGTTTATAGCGTTGTCATCTGGGCTTTTAAACCAGTCATGTCTTCTGTGTAAGTGTGGACCCCGAGGGAGTGTGCAGCTCTGTCTGGGTTTGGCAGAGTGGGATCCCTGCCAGCTAGACCCCACAGCCTGGGAACTTGTTAGTCATGCAAATTCAGACTCTAACCTAGACCCACTGGATCTGTAATTCTAGGAACAGAACCCAGACCTTAGTGTTTTAACAAGACCTTCAGGTGATTCTGATGCACGTGGAATCTTGGCAACCATGATAGGAACTCAGAACTCACATTTCCAGCTGTTTCCCAGATGATGATGTTGCTGGTCGGGGGAACCACACTAAGAGTTGACAAGATCCTATTGATAATCATGATTCTCAAGAGCTTAAGCTCTTAGACATTAATAGGCAGTTTTACTTCAGAATTTAATTTTAAAAATGCAAACTACAAAGGATAATAAAACTATCGCCATGATACCAACCATCCAGCTTAAGGAATTCTCAACATTTTGCCTTCTGCTTGTGTTTTGTTTTGGTTTGTTTTGTTCTAAGAAATTAGAGTATAGACAGATGAAGCCTTCTGTGTATTCCAGAATTCCATTCCTCTCCCTCTTTTCCTGGAGGAGAACCATTGTGGTGAGTCTGGTTTGTGTCACATACATACTTGTTTTTATATTTTTACTAGTTCTACAGACATCTGTAAATAATACACACCTGCATGGATTCACACTTGACATAACTTGATTTTGTGACTGTTCTCCCCTTTTTTCTCTAGAAATTGTTTCACGATACATGTTGATACAGTGTAACTTCAGCTTATTAATTTCACCTGCTATGTAAATTAGCCATAATTTATTAATTTATTTTCCTTTAAGTAGGCATTGGATTGTCTCTAATTTTTTGTTATTTCAGAGAGTGCTGCAGTAAATACCGTTGTGTACAGTTGACCCTTGAACAACACAGGGGTTAGGGGCACTGACACCCGCCTCCCAGTCAAAATTCTGCATGTAACTTGACTCCCCGGAAACTTAAGTTGTCCTTCGGTACCAGGGAGGATTGGTTCCAACACTTCCACGGATACCAAAATCCCAAAATGCTCAAATCTCCTACATAGAATGTCATAGAGCAATGCACACATTCGGCTCTCCCCATCTGGAGACTCCCCCTGTGGATCGAGAACAGTACAGGTATTTACTAAGAAAATCCACCTACAAATGGACCTGCACAGTCATACCTGTGTTGTCAAGGATCAGCTGTACTGTGTGAAAAGATTTCTCTAGGGTATATGCCCAGGAGTAGAAGAGCTGAGAAGTTGGGTAGAGGCATCTTCAGCCTTACTAGCTACTGCTAATTGTTCTGCGAATGGTTGTACCTTTGTACTCATTCATCTGCAAAGTATGAGCGCTTCATTTCTCTACATTTTCATCAAAACTTAACATTTACAGACATTTTAGTTTTTTGCCAATCAGAGAGATGTGACATGCCTTCCTGTTTTTAAATTTATAATTTCTAGAGTTTTAAGGGAGCTTGAGCTAATTTTCCTATTTCTTCTTGACACTTCCGGTTTCTTCTGGGAATTACCCGTGATGCTCTTTACCCATTTTCTATTGGGTTATTTGCCTTTTTACATGTATCTGTAGATGTTCTTTGTGTAATCTTTGCTAATACTTTGAATTATTTGTGTTTTAAGTACTTTATCTTAGTTGATAACTAGCCTTTTAGCTTTATTTATGGGTAAGAAAATTTTTCTTTACTCTTGGGTCATAAAGATTCTTTTATCTGCAGTTTTAAAACTTTTCTTTGTACATGTAAGTCTTTACTATGCCTGGAATTTACTTTTGTGTATGCTATGAGGTAGAGACCTAATTTCATTTTATTTTCCATATTGATAACTAGTTGTCCCAGCACTAACCACCCTTTTGTCCTTGATCTATAATGATGCCACCTCTTTGATATGCCCAGACTTGCTATATGTGTGGGTCTGTTTCTGGGCTGTGTAATCTCTTCTCTTGGTCTATTTGTCTATTCCTATGTCACACCCACGATGTCTTAGTTACAGCATCATCCCATGGACTGAGAGGTCCCAGTTTGATTCCTGGTCAGAGCACATGCCTGGGTTGTGGGCTCAATCCCCAGTAAGGGGCGTGCAGGGGGCAGCTGATCGATATTTCTATCTCTCTCTCCCTTCCTCTCTCTAAAAAATCAATAAAAACATTAAAGAGAAAAGGGTAAGTTATACGATTGGCTTGTCAGAGTCCATGAAAAATCTCATCTTACAATTTTGATTGGCATTATATTTTATTTATAGATAACTTTGGAGAGAATCGAGTGTCTTTCAATTCACGAACATGGTATATTTCCTTTATTTGGGTCTTCCACAATGGTCTTTCAGTAATATTTTATAATTTTCCCAGAACGTATTAGATATTTTTATTGTATTTATCCTAGGTATTTTATCTTGCTTTTAGGAATAGTGTTATTTTTTCTAAGAGGTTATTTCTGGCATATACTGTCAAATCACTTTTTCCTCCTTTATGAACATGTTAGTCTCTCCTTTTCCAGTAGATGGCAGTAAAATACATTAAGATTTTAGTAAGAATTTTCATTGGGATCTTTTTTCCCACTGAAATTAAAATGATTTGATTTAAAGGTATTCTGGAATATTTATTTCTACATCATCTTCCTTTGTTTCATTTAGGAGGATAGAAAGAAGCGAGATCGGGACCGTGTGGAGAATGAGGCAGAGAAAGACCTGCAGTGCCAGGCCCCTGCGAGATTAGACTTGCCTCCCGACAAGCCTCTCTCGAGCTCTTTAGCCAAACAAGAAGGTTGGAATGAGTGTTAACTGTCCCGAGTGAGGCGCTGGCGTTGTTCTAAGCGGCACAGCCAGGGAAAGTAACTGGGCTTTCAGCTTTTAAGTTAAAGTTTAAAAGCTTTTTAATTGAATTTTTAAATTTTTCTTATTTATCTGACATACAAGAGTTTTAAATTAGCTTCAGTTTTTAATTCATACCTATTCGTAAAATAAATGCAGTTTCTGATATTTAATGATGGATGTAAGTCATATAGAAAGAAAATAAGCTAAACAATACTCCATAGAATCTTCCTGTTTTAAATGCTCTTTTTCTTTCTTCTTTGCTTTAGAAGTAGAACAGACGCCTCTTCAAGAAGCTTTGAATCAACTGATGAGACAGTTGCAGAGGTAAATGGTTTTTCCAGTATTTTTGTAACATGGAAATTGAAATGAGAAATATAGTATCCAAAACATTTTTCTCTTTTTGATTATTTAAAGCCACATTTTGTGGCCTAAATCCAGATGTACTTGATTTTAAAGTGGATGATAAATATTTTGCCTGGCAATAGAAGCCCTCCGAGCGGCTGACTTTTAGATGTTCTCATTTAGTTTGTTTTAACTGGCAACTTGAAGAGTGTTACATAATACTCTTAATGGCAATTTTTTAAAAATTTGAAGTAACTTCTGATGTTAAAGCTTTAAACCAGGAATAAACAATACAGATATTTCCACTTTGTTAGTAGATAAAAATATCTCTGTCTATTTGTGTAGTGTTTATCATGCTGTAGAATGTTCAGAAATTATTCAGTCTGGGACAAGAGATAAAATACTATAAATGGGATTTGTGACCCTTTTAAATGCAGAAATTTGTTCTAAAAATTCCATTATCTAGATTAAACCAATGTTAAGTTCTCAAACAGAAAGAGTATAACTCAGTCTTAATTAAAACATTGATTCTGATATTTCTTTTTGCCCAGAATTTCAGTGTTCAGCTGAAAGTCATTCACATCATTGGCAGAGGATTCGGGGTGTAGGGCATGCATTTCATTCTAACAGTGAACTTCCTTCTTACCGTGTTGTTCTTAAATGTCAGTGTCAGAACACATCATAAATAATTGTTTAGGATAAAGCCTCCAGTGCTGTCTGTATTCAGTCAACACCTGTTCATCTCTGCAGTTAAAATCGTAGGTTAGTGGCCTCTCCCCCTTTTTGTCTTTATAGAGTAGTTGAGAAAATTACATCTCAAGTATTTACACTTGAATAAATAATTATTACTTGTCCCAAAAGAGAGAGCAGGTTAAATGTTAGACATTTTAACTCAGAATGTATGCCTAGACTGTTTTGGCTGCCATTTATTTATTTATTTATTTTTAATTGATTTCAGACAGAGGAAGAGGGGAAGAGAGAGAGAAACATCCATTAGTTGCTTCTTGAACTCACCTCAAATGGGGATTGAACCTGTCACCTTTTGGTGTATGGGATTGCGCTCCAACCAACTGAGCCATGTCAGCAAGGGTTGGCTGCCTTTTAATGTTCTTGTAAGACTGGAAAATTTCACCTTGAATTCTGCTTAAGACAGTCTCTCTACAGTTAGGAATTACAGTCTAGAGCCAAATAGTTTTGAATAGCTGTCGTGATTGGGTGGGTTTTCATCCTCGAAGCTCAGTGCTAATGTTGATAAATAATATAATTGATCAGTTTAGGAATACCATTTTTGGTCAGACCAAGTGGGGCTCTGTATTAAAATGACTAATACTAGGGGGTGTGGATAATTTGCTCTGAAGAGGTCCTCCAGACATGATTAGTGTTACTCACACTAACTACTGTGAACATCACACATTTGCATGTGTAAGTGCCAGACTGGATGTTTTTGCTTATTCTCATTATGTTTTAGTCTCATTCCTTGAGCATCGTGCTGGGAAGAACAAAGGCAGATTCACATAGACCTGGGTTCAGATTTTAACTCTCTCTTTTATCAGACTTACGACCTAGAACAGATGATTGGCCCTCTGAGTCTCAATGTCCTCATCTCTAAGTGAGGGACCACTTCCTTGGTGGCTTTGGGAGGATTAGCTATAAAATACATCACGTACCTGCCACTGGGCCTGGCGCATGGTAAACACACTTTAAAAGTTGCTACTATTATTCTTTAAGCCATTATTTATTGTTATGATTATTTGGAGTAAGAAAACTTCAGTATGCTAAATTTCTAGAGGGGGAAAAAATCACTCTGATGACCTAATTATGTAAAACAGTGGTTCTCAACCCTGTCAGTACTGGAAATACCAATGCAGATGTCCCAGTGCCAGTACCAATACTCAACCCTAGAAATACCAAAGCCTGGACCCAGCCTTCCAGAGAGATTCTTATGTCTGGGGCCAACTGAGATAAACCCCGAATCCTGCTGTAAGTTTATGAAGCTCCTCCAGTGGTTCTTATGTCGGAGTGGAGAAGCTGAGATGGGAAGCACTGTTTCTCAAGTTTGGGGGTGCTATGAGGACCTTCTCAATGTTTATAAGACACCATCCCCCTGGTACCCAAGAAGCCATATCCATTGATTCAGAAAATATACGTGCACACAGGGATGCAGTAATTGTGTGGCCCACCAAGAGTCCGAGCCTGTAGTCGGAAACCATATGGAAGATTGCACGTGTGCATTCACAGTTCGTACTTCTGCCTTCTCTCCTGTGGCTGATAGAGACACGGATGCGGGCTGATCTCCTGAAGGCCAAGGCGTTGGCAGTTCGGCTAGGTTTTTTTATTTTGTTTCATTTTTTCCCGTGTAGGAGGTACTACTAATTAATTTAGGCTGTGTATTTTTAAAGATTTCTTTGTTTAAGAGTACAGTTATTATGTAAAACATCTTAACCTTGTTATTAAATGGTTATTAGTCTTTAAAAGTATTCCTTCAGTTTCCAGTGGAAAACATGTTAGCATACTGCAAATACTTTCTGCATCTGAAGAGTTTCCTGACTTCTGCTCTTAGACTAGATTTGTTTGTAGTAAAAATGAACTTGCCTTTTTCATATCTTGACAGAAAAGACCCAAGTGCTTTCTTTTCATTTCCTGTGACTGATTTTATTGCTCCCGGCTACTCCATGATTATTAAACATCCAATGGATTTTAGTACCATGAAAGAAAAGATCAAGAACAATGATTACCAGTCCATTGAGGAACTAAAGGTAACTATAGCTGTTTGTGTTGTGATTGGACAAATAAAAGCTATGATACAAAGTAACATATCTTTATTCATTTGAGTTTCAAGCTCTTGGATCCTATATATACAAAATCTTGACAGAAACCTACATGTCTGATACTCAGAATCTTTCTAATTGAATTTTATTTTGCAAAGAATTAAGTTTATTTTAATATCCAAAAATATTTGTATATTTCTTTGAAAACATTTTTGAACTTGGAGATGCAAATGCCGTCTGCTTTTATTATTTTGAGGGTTTAGTAAAATTTTGAATTTCATATGTTTTAAAATATATTTTCTCAACCTTTAAAATGAGAATATACTTGATTTTTTAATTTCAGATCAGGTAAAATGCATATTGTAATGAAATTTAATTAGAGTAATTTCTTTTTCTAGACATGTAAGGTGTGCATATCTACTACAATAGAGACTAAATTGGCTGATCTAGAAATATTAAACGGATGTTTAATTACATTTTCAAATTACCCGAGGATATTTTTTCAGTTTATCTTCAAATAGAGTAGCAGGAGGGGGAAGAGCGACAGAGAGACATCAATGTGAGAGGGACACATCGACAGGTTGCCTCCCACATGACCCCAATGGCCAGGGCCTGGGATGAACCGCAACTGAGGTATGTGCCCTTGACCGAAATTGAACCCGCAACCCTTTGGTCTGCAGGCTGACTGTCCAACTGCTGAGCCAAACTGGCCAGGGCACATTTTCTAGTTTGATGAAAGTCAGTTGCTCTCTGAGATCATTTTGGCGATATTTGTTGAGCATATTTCCTTCAACTTTAAAAGGAAGGAAATTAAAAACTTGCAAGTAAAGAACCTACAAGCCACCAAGATGCTGTATACGCCTAATGGTAATAGTTGAAGTGCTTTCTGCTTTTACATAGTCTCGGTACATGTTGATTTAAGAGGCGATACTTTTCCTTTAACCTTCCACAGAAAAGGAACCACGTGCTTTGTGAATTGGCTCCGTGCCAAACCATGACAAACTGAACTGGTTTAGATGTCTATTCTTCCTTTATTTTTTCTGCATAAACATCATAGTGTTCACCTGACCTAAGGGCTGGACCTGATCAGTCACAAAAGGAAAATAAGACAGTAAACTGTCTTTACTTGCTCTTCTTTTTTATCCACATGTCAACTAGCTGAGGTTTATGACTGACAGTAGCATTTAATTCTATCTTTACTATGAATTTGAATGAATAGACAATATTCCACTACTCTGAAAAACAAGTTACATTCTCATGTACAGTGTTCAGAGAAATGGAAACTTTTCCCAACTTTTCATCTGGTGAAAATTAGGCCATAACTGTTTATTTCAGCATGTTTCTGACTTTATCATTGCTTAATGGAAAAAACCTTAAGTTTTGTTTTTTTCTGTTTGTGAACAGTTTCCCTCTGATATTTGTCTTGCGGTGACAGGAGAGAGGAGAAGTGTGCCCCCAAGTGTTCTTGAGCACATGGTTCATTCAGGCTTATCATGATTGAAATGAGCAAGTATTTTAACTCTTTGGAATTTTGCATATGTACTACATTTTTTTCACTAACCTAAAGTAATATTTATTAGCTTTTCCAGCTCATTAGGCTGTTCAAGATTTTTTTTTTTTTCTTTTTCATTAATTAATTTTTGTTACAGATGTTTCTCCTTTTTTCCCCACTGATTCCCCCCTCCCCAACCTGTCCCCAGTTTGTTGTCCATGTCCACTGTTCATGCATACATGCATATAAGTTCTGTGATTTATCTCTCCCCCACCATCCCCTCTTCTGGGGATTGTCAGTCTGTACACCACCTCCACATCTCTGGGACTACCCCATTCCTCAGGCTGTTATGTTCATTATATTCCACAAATAAGTGAGATCATATGATACTTGTCCTTCTCTGTTTGGCTTGCGTCACTCAGGATGATACTCTCCAGGTCCCTCCATGTAGTCTCAAAGGACAAGAGATCTTTCTTTCTTAGAGCTGCATAGTACTCCATTGTGTATATGTACCACAGCTTTTTTATCCACTCGTCTACTGATGGACACTTGGGCTGTTTCCAGATCTTAGCTATTGTAAATAGTGCTGCTACAAACATGGGGGTACATATAATCTTTCTGATTGGTGTTTCAGGCTTCTTAGGGTATATTTCCAGAAGTGGGATCACTGGGTCAAATGGAAGTTCAATTTTTAATTTTTTGAGGTAACACCATATTGTTTTTCGTAGTGGCTGCACCAGTCTGCATTCCCACCAGCAGTTTACTAGAGTCCCCTTTTCTCCACACCCTCGCCAACACTTGTTTAATGATTTGTTGATGGCGACCATTCTGACAAGTGTGAGGTGATACCTCATTGTTGTTTTAATTTGCATCTCTCTGATGATTAGTGATGATGAGCATTTCTTCATATGTCTCTTAGCCATTTGTATGTCCTGTTTGGAGAGGTGTCTATTTAGTTCCTCTGCCCATTTTTTAATTGGGTTCTTTGTCTTCCTTTTGTGGAATTGTATGAGCACTCTGTATAGATTGGAAATTAACCCCTTATCTGATATATCATTGGCAATTATGGTCTCCCATACAGTAGGTAGCCTTTCCGTTTTGATGATTGTATCTTTCGCTGTGCAGAAGCTTTTGAGTTTGATGTAGTCCCATGTGTTCATTTTCTCCTTTGTTTCTATTGCTTTAGGTGATGTATCAGTGAAAATTCTGTTGCGTATGATGTCTGAAATTTTGTTGTCTACAGTTTCTTCTAGGATTTTTATGGATTCATGAGTCACATTTAAGTCTTTTATCCATTTTGAGTTTATTCTTGTGTAGGGTGTAAGTGGATGGTCTAGTTTCATTTTTTTGCATGTAGCTGTCCAATTTTCCCAGCACCATTTATTAAAGAGGCTACCTTATTCCACTGTGTCCTCTTGCCACCTTTGTCAAATATTAATTGAGCATATTGCCTTGGGTCCATTTCTGGGTTCTCTGTTCTGTTCCACTGGTCTATATGCCTGTTCTTGTGCCAGTACCAGGCTGTTTTGGTTACAGTGGCTTTGTAGTATAACCTTGTCGTACTCTCGCAGTTTAGGCCCAGTGGCCATTTAGTATGAATAGTCCTCGTCTTGTGTCTCCCCTTAACTGCCTCTCCTTCCCCCAAATAGACATTTAATCATTCTTAATGGAATGGAAGCTTTTCAGAATATCTATCTGTACCAAGGGTAGTTAACTTGGGGTCCCTTGGGTAGCCACAAATGAGCCTTTAGGGGGACTGGGACCTGGTAAATTAGCATGAGAAACCCTGTGTGTGAGTGTGCGTGTGCACCCATGCGCAGGCTGAGGAGTGCATGGGTCCGTGGCTGTCACACATCCTGGGAGGTGTAGGGCCCAGCAAGATCCTGACTTATTAGACACCTAAGCAGGGGCTGAGGTCCACATGAACTTACCCACTTTGAATTTAATACCAGTTTATTGTGACCCTTGAGTCAGCCTTCTCATATGCTGTTAAACATTGCTCAGTCTACCTATTTTCATCCCATTCCACTGTTCTCCACTGTCGCCACTAGATATTAAATAGTGGGGTTTGAATGTTCTGCTTTGGAGGAGTTTGTTCGGGAGGCATCAGATTCTTTTTTGTTAAGTTTTTGTTGTTGTTGTTAATCCTCACTGAGGATAGTTTTCCATTGATTTCTAGAGTGTAGAAGGGAGGGAGGAAGAGAGAGAGAGACCTTGATGTAAGAGAGACACATCATCCGCCGCCTCACACATGACGCTGACCAGAGCCTGGGATCAGACCCGCCACCCTTGGGTCCATGGGCCTGCACTCCATCCTCCAAGCAGACCAGCCAGGGCTTTTGTTTGTTTTTTATCGTTTCACCTTAGTAATGCACAGTCACTCTCGCGTGTGCACTGTGAGGTCACTTCGCCGTGGCAGTGCCGTAGACTTGCGTTCTCAAGCACACCTGTCGCTTGGAAATGTGAACCAAAGGTACGCTTTTGGTCATGGCTTCTCCATTTACATGTTCTGGCTCTTTGAGGCTGGTTGTATGGTTTATTTCACAAATTGGCTTATAATAAATAGCACCCAAACAGGTAAAAGAAAATTAATGTAAACATTGTAAAATTTTTGCTCAGTTAATTTGGATTTAGTAGGAAATATTGTGATAATTTAGCCCTGTTCCCAGGTTTCAGTCGAGATCCAAAATAAAATATCTAATTCATAAATATATGGAAACTTAAGATTTATTTTAAAACTAAAGTAATGTTTCTAATTAGATTAACTATTCAGTTAAGATCGTTCTATTAAAATATGATAGAAATATTTTCTTCTAATTCTTTTTCATGCAGTAAGATTAAAATTTTCATCTTGTATCTAAAGTTTATATAGTTATGAAATGTTTAAGAATTTGGAAAAGAATATAGTAGGATTTTTTTTCTTTTTTTTATTAAAAAAATTTTTTTTTGCCTTTATTGATTTTAGAGAGAGAGGAAGGGAGATGGAGAGAGAGATAGAAACATCAATGAGAGAGAACATCGATTGGCCGCCTCCTGCATGCCCCCCACTGGGGATCGGGCCCACAACCTGGGCATGTGTCCTGACTGGGAATTGAACTGGTGACCTCTTGGTGCATACGTCGACACTCCACCACTGAGCCACAGTGGCCGGACAGATTTTTTTTTCTTTATTGATCTTTTTTAGAGAGAGAGGAAGGTAGAGGGGGAGAGAGAGATAGAAACATCATCAATTGGCCGCTTCCTGCATGCCCCCCACTGGGGATTGGGCCCACAACCTGGGGATGTGCCCTGACCAGGAATCAAACTGGCAACCTCTTAGTGCATGGATCTGTGCTCAACCACTGAGCCACACTGGCCCGGCTATAGTAGGATATTTAAATGAGCAGCACTTGTTTTGTTTATGAGTCTTAAAACTTAATGAATTGCTATTAATGTTGTTTATTAAACAGTGAAAGAAAACAGTAGGGTTGTTTTTAATTTTTCAAAGACCGGTACAATTTCAAATCAGGAAAGCAGGGTACTTTGTTTTGTTTTAATGCATTTCCCCCTTAATATTCTCTCTGCAGGATAACTTCAAACTTATGTGTACTAATGCTATGATTTACAACAAACCAGAGACCATTTATTATAAAGCTGCAAAGAAACTACTACACTCAGGAATGAAAATTCTTAGCCAGGTAAAGAAAATTCCTGTCATAAATAATAATTATTATAAAATTTATATTCCTTTGTTGGTCATAATAATACAAATCCAGTTCAGTACTGGTTCTGTTGTATAGGAAGATCATAATAAAGTTAAAATTCAATGAATAAACTTTTTAATACTATAAAGAAAATTCAAGCAGAAAGATTCTCGTTTGTAATCGATACAAATAAATATTGTTATTCCCTTGCAATTATTTGTATGAGGCTCTTGAATTGACACTCACCAGATAGACATGTATCTGCAGTGAAAGAAGCGTCGACCTGAATTCCAGGGTAAGGTGGATTTGGTGAGTTGTGCGACCTGTAGGAGGAAAGCTCTCCCCCTGCAGGGATGGGATCTGGTGTCCGGTGAAGCACAGGAGCTCCTAGTAGAAGAAGGAGAACATACCAGTGAGCGGGCAGGTAGTATCTCAAAGCCCCTCCGATGGGAGCAGCCTCCCTTGAAGGGCAAGCTCTGGCCTCGCGTGGCGTTGGAGGTGGGGAAGAGCACGCAGGGACCCGACGTGCGTCATCAGCTGTAAGCTTTCGTATAGTGTATTCCAGAGGGATGCTGTAGGCAGTGGCAGAAAGTTATGTGGGTGTCATCTGGGCGCGAGGGCTGATGATAGGCCTTGCCAGGTAACTGGAGGTGATCGCTGTGGGAGGAAGGAGGGCTTCCGGGTAAGTCGCGTCTGAGGCTCCATAGCACTGAGTGGGATGGGGTCAGCTGAGGCCCCACCGGCACCTCACCACGCAGGAGCCGGAAGACGGTCTGGTGCGAGCTCTTTCCGCAGCTTAGGGACCTCAGGCACGACATTAACCACTGCACCTCGGTGTTCTGTCTCCAGAGGACGGCCTGGCCTGTGCTGCTGCTAGACGAAACCCGGCATAGGGAGGAGAGGAGTGGATATGAGGCAGAGAGGAGGAGAAAATCCACCATTAAAAGCTTGAGCTTCGCCCCAGAGGAGTTACAGGACAGTAGGCTGAGTCATAGATGCACGTGGTTTCCAGCTTTGGTGGTGCTTGTCTGTGTCATTGACAGAAACGCCTTGGTGTGCACATGTCTGAGTGTCTGTGCTGCTCTGAAACATTCTTGGATCCACTTAACAAGGGACAGGAAAACATTTGGACTGACGATTATTCCTGCACTCCTAATATTTAGACATTGGTTCCCATCCTCTCCTAAAGAGTTGGGAAACTGTGATGTAAGCCAGTTAGTTACCCATCTTTGGCAAAATTTGCAGAGGAAGGGGAAATGTAAAATGTGTATCCCATTCTTGGCAGAAAGACTCAAAATGCAGAACCAAGCTGTGTTCCCGGCTCGACAACCTGCAGCGCTGTGGCCGGCGTATCTGCAGGAAGAGCGCGCCCGGCGGTTGCGCCCTCTCGTCCCTGCAGACGGTCCTGAATGTTAGGAGAATGTGTAACTCGCAGGGAGAACAGCCAAAGTGAACTGACCAACTTCGACTTACCATTGTTGCCATTGTTTATATTATTTGTCATCTTCAAATAGAGTAGTTAATGTAACATGTGAAAGGTTCCAGTATCCCTTGGATTTTACTGGGGATGGTTGGTTGGAGGCACAGAAAATAAAGTTTCTCCTCCACTTTCCCTTTTCTCTCTCTGTTATCTTCCTTTTTCTCAGACCTCTTCCTGTTGAGGAGCCCTTCCCATCCTGTGTTACGCTTCCTGTTGACTGTTCTCTCCACCCTAGATGGGAGCGGTCCTACAACAGTGCTGTGTAAATGTAGCCCTTCTGAGTTAACTCCTCACATCGCCATGTCCCCGGAGGGCCCGGCACCCCTCCATGAGTGGTGTCTTTCCAAAGGTGGTGGTTTCCAGTGTTCTGTGTAAAGATTGTAGAGCGCACCCTTTATTTTCTCAGCTACACACAGATGACGACGATTCAGACATGTTGTTTCTGTAACGAATGGGCATACTTAGAATAACTCTTCTGATGACCTAAGTAAATATGAGGATGCTGCCTTGTAGTACAAGCAAAACAGTACAAACAGTACTATTTGTAGTACAATGGCTTTGGAAGCAGACCAATCAGGGTTCAAGTCCTAGCTCTGCCATTGCGCTGCTGTGTGACCTGAGGAGGACATGTCACTTTTTGTCATGTAAAACAGGGTAGTGATAGTACTGACCTCTTCTGGTATGTGGGTGAGCACTCAAGTGTTAACTGTTGCAATGGCAAAGTCTCAAGGCCTTTCAGTCATTTCATATTGCAAATCTGAGGTTGATAGACAGTATGCTAATCTGGAGACATTTTCATTACCAAAAAAAGTCATTGCTTTAAAAATAAAATTAATTAAATTCAACTTTTTTTTATTACTTGTGCCAAAATGTTGAAATTTCTCTAATTCTTTTAATTTTGTGCATGTTACCTTTTTAAAAAATCTCAGTGTTCTTTTTTATTTTTTATTTTTTTTATTTTCATTGATTTGAGAGAGAGAAAAAACATCAATGTGAGAGAAACATCGTTTGGTTGGCTCCTGCACACACCCCAACTGGGGATCGAACCCGCAACCTGGGCCTGTGCCCTGAGTGGGAATCAAACGGTGACCTTTGGTGTATGGGACAACTCTCAACTAACTGAGCCACACAGCCAGGCCCAAAATATTCCTAATGTAAGTTCTGCTTTCTAAATTCTAGGATGGAAAGAAAAAGGTTGCTAAGAACTTTGTGATCTAGGCCCTTTTTTTTTTTAATCCTCACCTGAGGATATTTTTCTATTTCTCTTCAGATTGAGTGGCAGGGGAGGGAGGGAGAAAGACAGAAACATCGATGTGAGAGGGACACATTGACTGGTTGCCTCGTGCACAACCCCAACCAGGGCCAGGGATGAACTGCACCCAAGGCAGTGCCCTTGACCAGAATCGAACCCGTGCCTCATTGGTTCTTGGGCTGACACTCTAACCACTGAGCAGACCGGCCAGGGCTGATCTAGGCTCAGCCTTGAGTCCCTGCAGTGTGCCCACCCGATTCAGTCGGTGGAGATGGAGAGATGAGTAAGAAATGATCTAATCAACATCGTCGAGGGGAAACACCAGTGGCCCGTGGCAATCACAGAAATAACCATTCTCCCTAACATTGTTTAAGTATATATTAAAGTGAGACATGTTTTAAAGAATCAAATTGGCAGATTTTTTTAAATTAAAAAATATATATATTTTTTAATCCTCAACTGAGAATACTTTTCCATTGGTGTTTTTTTGTTTTTTTGGGGGGGGTTTTTTTTTAGATAAAGTGGAAGGGAGGGAGGGAGGGAGGGAGAGAAACATCAACATGAGAGAGACACATTGATCGGTTGCCTCCCACTCAACCCCAACAGAGGCCTGGGATAGAACCTGCAACCCAGGTACATGCCCTTGACCAGGAACCAAACCTGCGACCCTTCAGTCCTAGGGCCCATGCTCTAACTGCTGAGCCAAACTGGCCAGGGTGCATTTCTTTAATGATACTGTTGTTTTTTTAATTCTTCGCCTGAGGATATTTTTCCATTTATCATCAGATAGAGTGGGAGGGAGGGAGAGAGAGAGCCAGAGAGAAACATCGGTGTGATAGAGCCACATGGACTGGTTGCCTCCCACATGACCCAACCAGGGCCAAGGACAAACCACAGCCAAGGTACGTGCCCTTGACTGGAATCGAACCTGTGACTCATTGGTCCATGGACTGACGCTGTAACCACTGAAACAAACTGGCCAGGACACTTTTTTTTTTTTTTTTTTTTAACAATACTGTTTATTTGACAAGGATTCAGAGAAACTTTCAAATGATTGCTATTACTTTTCTGAAAGGTATTTTGGCCATGAATATCAAAAGCCGTAATACTCATTTCCACCATGGCCAGATGGCTCAGTTAGTTGGAGTGTCACCTCGTTCACCAAAACGATTGCAGGTTCCATCCCCAGTCCTGGCGCACGCCAGAGGCAGCCCAGGGTTTCTCCCTCGCATCGAGGCTCACTCTTTCTCTCTCAAAAAATCAACGAATGCATGTCCTCGGGTGAGGATCACAAACGGAAAATACTCATTCCCTTTGACCTAGTGTTTACATTTTAGGAATTTATCCTAACAGATTCTTAGGTTTATTTACCATAATGTTATTAAGACTTGTGTTTGTAATGGTGGGAACTCGGAAATAATCTAAATGTCCAGTAGTAGGTTGTTAATTAAATGATGGTACATAAAATAGGATGAAATAATACACAGTTATTAAAACATTTTAAAGAATATTTGATGATATAGAGGGGAAATATTTGTAATTTATTAATTGAGAAAAATTCTGTTAAGCAAATATTCGATATAATTCCAGTTTGCTAATATGTATAATGCTTAGAAAAATACTGAGATGATAAACCTGTTAATCCTGTTCCTCTAGATAATAAATTAACAAGGTTTTATTTTCTCTACCTACATCTTTATCTACAGTAAAATATATAATGATAATAGTTTCAAGATCAAAGTAGAAATAATAGGCCCTGTTCTTGAGGCTCTCGCAGCCTGCACTGCGAATACGGTCATGGACAGCAAGAGGCTGGTCTTACTCACTGCTTGTGACCTTAGTGTTTCTGGATACATTATTATTATTTTTATTTTTTAATCCTCACCCGAGGACATTTTGCATTTATCTTTAAATAGAGTGGGTGGGAGAGAGGGGAGAAGAGAGAGAGAATTATCGACATGAGAGAGACACATCAAGTGGTTGCCACCCACATGTGACCCCAACCCGGGCCAGGGACAAACTGCAACCGAGGCACGTGCCCTTAGCGGGAACCAAACCTAGGCCTCTCTGTTCTGTGGGCCGAAGCTCTAACTGCTGAGCCAAACTGGCTGGGGCTGGATATATTCTTGTTTGAATGACCTTTGGTTCTTTCTAATTCCTAGTTTCTATTATTTTGCAAAAGCCTTCCCAGCTGTTGCTATGTGTTCCTAAGGAGACTGCCCTCCATATTTTACCCAGTGACAAGGCTCAGAGCTCAAAGGCAGAGTCAGTAGGAACTGCTCTGTCTCCAGAAACGTCAAGCCCTTAACCACAGTGAGAACTTGACAGCACATCAGTGAAGCGCTTGGAGAAGAGCCAGTATGTGCTCTGAGAAACGGCTGTGCCGGCCCCTCTTGTTCCCCGGGCACGTCCTCCCAGTCGGTGACCATCCTAGGGCACACTGAGGAGCCTTCACCGGTCACATGCTGTAGGCTTCTACTAACTGATGATTCTGAAATTCAGATGATCAGCCAAACTGTTAAATATAAAATTTTAACATGCTAGTAAACCGAATTTGATGTTTATAAATTTAATACTGCAAAGAATAATCTTTATACATTGTCTTCTGTGAACTTTCTGATGATGCAATAAAGTTATAAAGCATTCTCTTATGTTGGAAATTGTCATCTGAATTGAAGAAGTAGACTTTATTGTCCTGGTTTCTAAATACAATACTCTTGGTGTTAATTACATTTAATTGTTTTTCTTCACAAGTTAATCACAGGATAAATGCAATCTCTTGTGAGAAAAGTAATACATTCCTTTAAAAAGTAATGACAAACATACAATAAGATGTTCTTGAATATTTTTAGGAGAGAATTCAGAGCCTGAAGCAGAGCATAGACTTCATGGCAGACTTGCAGAAGAGTCGAAAGCAGAAAGACAGAACAGACACCTCGCAGAGTGGGGAGGACAGCGGCTGCTGGCCCCCAGAAAGGGAGGACCTGGGCGAGATGGAAGCACAGGCCTTCAGGAGTCCCAGCAAGGAAAGCAGGAGGTAGAGTCTTTGCAATGTTACGTTGAAGCTGTCTTTCCAAGCTAGTAGGGGGTACTGACACAGTGCCTGCCTTGGGAGGCAGGTCCTGCTAGTGGGGCATGAAAGTTCGTTTTGGTGATGTGCTAGATGCCCTCTTCTCATACAGAGCGACGTGTGGGATTGTGCGGGGCAGTCAGCAGTTCTGAGTGGATTCTTACGAAGCTACTTTTAAAACCAGTAGGTTCTCTTTAGGGACTCATTGTCAGTGAGTTGACTTAAAGAGAGCTGTTTATTGAGGGGATAATGTGTATTCATCACCGCATCCATAAAGGAGTTGAGATGGTAGTGAAGCCTGAGCATAGGTAAAGCTGCTTCCTGAACCAGCGGCTGTCGCTCAGACGTCACCGTGGGAGCAGCGACTTCCCACGGCCCACGAGGACCGGCCTCACGCACACCTCTGACAGCAGTTTGGGATTTGTGCTGTCATACTGCAGTGAAAGTAAACTTGTGACAAGTTTTTGTTTTGTTTCTAAGATTTATACTTTTTTTTTTAATCCTCACTCAAGGATATTTTTACATTTATCATCAGATAGAGTGGGACGGAGGGAGGGAAAGCGAGAGGGAGAGAAACCTCGACTGGTTGCCTCCCACACAACCTGACCAGGACAGGGGATGAAGTAAAACCGAGGTACGTGCCCTTGACCAGAATCGAGCCTGCAACTCTTCAGTCCATGGGCCTGGGGGTCGAACAAGACCATCTGAAAACACATTTCTGATGGTCTTAGGAACAGAGACACTGCTCCTCTGCCTCCAGCGGGTCCACCCACATGAGATACGCCCGCAGACACAGGAGCTGCATCACAGGGTCGCGGCTCAGGAAGGCTAAGAACCACTTTGACCAGGGCTAAAATTTATACATTTTAAATGTGTGTTTACTATGAAAAATCAAACTTTAAAAAATTGTTTCTCTCCAAAATATATTCTTTTTTTTTTTTTTTTATCCTCACCTGAGGACATTTTTCCATTTTTTGTATTTGTACAGATAGAGCAGGAGGGTGAGAGAGGAAGAGAGAGAGAGAGAAACATCGACATGAAAGGGACACATCGAGTGGCTGCCACCCGCACGACCGACCAGGGCCGGGGACAAACTGCAACCGAGGTACATGCCCTTAGCGGGAACCGAACCCGGGTCTCTCCGGACCGCAGGCCGACACTCTAACCGCTGAGCCAAACTGGCCAGGGCCAAAATATATTCTTGGTAGAATTCATTTTTGTGAATGTACTGAGAAAAATGTTTACGGTGAGGAACACTGGGCCCGAAGGGAGGGATCCAACCAATGAGTCGGATCTGCCTTTCTTTGCACTTGCGGGGCCTCCCGAGGCCTCATTACGGAGCAGAGTCGGATGACAGCCTGTCTCCACTGCACTTGTCTTCAGATTTGGAATCCATTTAACGTTGGCACCTTACCTTCTTTTTTACTTAGTGATGTGTGTTTTCAGGAAAGACAAAGATATGCTTGACGATAAAGTGAAGAGTCATAACTTAGAACGAGAGCAGGAGCAGATTGACCGCATCGTGAAGGAGTCTGGAGGGAAGCTGACCCGGCGGCTGGCGAATAGTCAGGTGACAGCTTTTCCTCTCTCAGTGCCTGCCGATCCTGTGATATGAATGCCCTGCTGGTTTGTTTCTTTCTTTGTTAATCCTCACCCACGAATTTTGTTTTCCCCCTTTGATTTTTAGAGAGAGTAGAAGGGTGGGGATGGGGAGAGAGAGAGAGAAACATTGATGTGAAAGAGACATGGATTGGTTGCCTCCCGCATGTGCCCCCACGGGGCCAGGGAATTAATCCACAACCCAGATACATGCCCTTGACTGGAATCAAACCCTCAACCCTTCAGTGCAAGGGCCAGTGCTCTACATTGAGCCACACTGGCCAGGGGTGAACGTTCCATTTTTAAATTCTTTGTACCTTTTTTAAAAATAAGATTCGGTCTCTTTTTTGTTGTTAATCCTCAGCTGGGGATATTTTTCCATTGATTTTTAGATAGAGTGGGGGTGGGGGAGAGAAGCATTGATGAGAGAGACACATTGATTGGTTGCATCCTGCACGACCCCGACGGGGGCTGGGGATTGAACCTGCAACCCAGGTAAGTGCCCTTGACTGGTAATTAAACCCTCAACCCTTCAGTCATTGAGCCAACACTCTAACCACTGAGCAGAACTGATCAGGGCAAATTCTGTGTACTTTTAATCCACACCTACCTTAGAACTCCTCAGTACAAGACTCAGATCAGAAAAGTTCATGTTTATTTGTAAATAACGTGATTGATCTTATCCTTTATTACTAGATTTTTAATGTTTTTTAAATTGGAAAATGAACCACATACTTTTAAGTTTATGAGAAAACATTTAATTTATACTCTGGTCTTTTAAAATTATATTGTCTATTCAGCACATTGGTTTTAAAACCAAATGGATTAGTTTATGACATTGGGCAGGTCACCCCTTTCTCCTGGTCTTCAGTATTCTCCTTTTTACGCAGAGTAGGCAGAACTGGGTGTCCTTAAGGACCCACATAGTTCTTTCAAGTGCTGAGATTTTTTCTAACCATTTCTAAGCCCATCATCACCTGTGTGTATGGAGACAGGTGTGAAAGTCAGTATCTGATGCTGCAAGATGGTAGCCGCCTGTGATAGCAGGTTGACTAAAGGAAGGCTTTTCTAGTGTGACACACAGATGGCACATACAGCACTGTTAATGCGTGTGGATGCCCTGGGTCATTGCAGTGTGAATTCGAAAGAAGAAAACCGGACGGGACGACAACACTGGGACTTCTGCACCCTGTGGACCCCGCTGTAGGAGGTGGGTCGGGGCGAAGCTGCACATGAGCCTGCTCTGGGCACAGAGTAGTGGCCTGGGTCACACTGCAAAGCAACAGGCCTGAGTGTCGATAAATCTGGTCGTATTGTTTCCAGAGAACTTGGCGAGACATCGTGTATTTCATGTTAACAGCTAGCCTAATTTCTCTTCCTCCTAAGATAGTACTTACTATATAGGTCAAGTTTTCTTTAAAACACCAAGTCCTAGAATCTCAGACCCACCATTAACAAAGCCAAAAAATGAGGCAGTGATTTTCAGCCCTGCTTTTTAGAGGCTGATTTTGTGCTCAGTTATGTCTTCAGGTGTCTCAGAACCCTCAGACTGTGACATCATAGGCTCAGCTGACCATTTCACACTGAGGGGACTGTGTGCCATGTCACCATCCTGGGGACGGACAGCACGTGCCTGAGGTCTCTGTCTTCCACTAGAGACGGTAGAAGGGTTATGAAGGTTGAGAACCCGTTTTATAACTTCAGTCATATTTTTATTTTCTCAGATGATATTTTATTGGAAATAATATAGGATAAATTTGGGATTGGATGTAAAAATAGGAACTTTTTGTCTTTGGTCTAAGGGGAAATAATTACGTTGTAATGCGCAAATGTGAGAATGTTGTTTTATATTCGTTTTCATACAGCCAGTATGAAATAAGTGGGGATACCAAAAAATGCCAGCAGAATTCCCCTACTTCAGGAAGTAGTCTCTGACACTGCTGTTCCTTACGGGGAAGGCGCTGTCTGGGGAGCTGGGGCAGGTGGGTGTGTATAGGGAACAGAACAGAGAGACCAGCCCCTTCCCCTCCACTTGGGGGTGAGGAGAGGATGGAACCAACAGGTCTCCATGGAGAAGTGCAGCCTGTCCCCCGTGGGCCGGGGCCACCAAGGGGCAAAGCAGCTGTGCCGGTAGAGCAGAAGGTGCCTCGTGTCTCGGGGTGAAGGAGGCCTCCTTGGCCAGGTGACATTTCGGTTGGTCCCTAGAAGGTGAGTCAGGGAGGGAGACCACAGGTAAGAAACCCTTGAAGCAGGGAAGAGCCTGAGACATTTGAGGGCTGGAAGAGCAAACCTGTTATGTCAGCGAGCGTTCCACTCTGGAAATGCTCCAGGAGTCCTGCATGCAGAAGAGAAGGCACTGTGTTTTCAAAGCGATATGCACTTTTTGCTTTTATGTGAACCCTCACCCAAGGATATTTTTCCGTTGTTTTTTTGAGGGAGGGAGGGAGGAAGAGAGCGCATGCAACCTTGATGTGAGAGAGACACGTTGATTGGTTGCCTCCCGCACAACTGATAGGAGCTGGGGATTGAGCCTGCGACCCGGGTACGTGCCCTTTACTGGGAATTGAACCCGCAACCTTTCAGTCCGAGGACTGGTGCTCTAACCACTGAGCAAACCAGCCAGGGCTTATGTGAGCTTTTCATAGTAGGAATTTATATGGTCTTGGACCAAAGAAACAGTCACTGGATTGAGAACATCGCTCTTGCTCTTTCTAGTACAGCTGGGGTGAAATTTTGGCACTAGATGCAACTGACTTGATTGGTGACAGCGTGAGATCAGCCCCTTCCTTCCTTGGTGCCCAGGGATCTGGTTTCTGCCCTCGGTCAGGTCTGCCGGGGGTCCAGCCTCTGGCCTAAGCTCACTTGGCTCCTCGCGCTCAGCAGCTCCCCCAGGCCGCTCACTGGTGGAAGGAGAAGATTCCCACTTACTTCTCACTTCCATTGTCCTGGTGGCGGTGCATCCCCGCGAGGACACCACCTGGGCTGCTCCTGGGGCGAGCGAAGTGCCACAGCCGCAGCTTCCACTGCAGGGCCGTCTCGGTGCAGAAGCCGGGCGGGATCTAACACAAGCGAGCAAGCACATTGCAGGGGCGGGGCAGAGGCCTGCCTTCTCCGTCTCGTCCTGTCAGCCCTCTGCTTGGCACAGAGCCAGTGTCGTCACAGGGCCTGCGCCTGGTGTGCAGACGTCACGTCTCTGAAGGCTCTTCTACTCTGTTCCTTCTGAGTGCATTGGGAGTTCTTGTCTTCAATCAGTAGTTCCCTTCATCTTTTGCTAACCTTTTCTGCTGGTTTACTTCCATCATAACCTTAAAAGGTCCAACTTTTTTTAAAGCAAAATGTAACACGGTTATAAAGAATTTCGGGAAGCAGTAGGGTGTCATGAGAAGGACCAGGTTTGGGTCCTGGCCACATGCCTGCCTTTCTAAGCTCAGACTCTGTATTAAAAATGGGGAAGGAAGGGCTCCCCGCCTCATCACGGTCACGTACGTGGCGGGAAGCCGAGTGCATGCCGGCGCTGTGCAGAGCGCCACTCGGCTCGACGCCGCTCGGGCCGCCTCCACGGCACTCGCCTTAGTGCCTGTCTTCTTCCCAGAACCTGGCTACTGCCCCGTGCGGCTGGGCATGACCACTGGGCGGCTCCAGTCTGGAGTGAACACTCTGCAGGGGTTCAAAGAAGATAAAAGAAACAAAGTCACTCCGGGTAAGGCTCCCACTGGTGACAGTTCCCGTTTACTCTTTGTTCACTAACTCTTGCTGGTATTTTTGCAACTTTAATCAGCTATTTTACTAACCGCAGAAGAAACTGCAAAATCAGGTGTTACTATTCAAAATTAGTTTCATTCTTTATTTTCTCTCCCTTTTGTGGGGAAAAATGCGGTTGAGTTGCTACTTCATAAGCATCTGTGGGTGGGGGGGATGTCTACCTTCGATGTGTGTGCCAGTCAGTGCAGTAGAATCAGAAGGGTATGTTGCCCACCAAACCAAAAGCACAGACAGCCCCGCGAAGGAGCGCGGCCCTGACCTGTTCCGTCCTTACCCACAGTGTTGTACCTGAACTACGGGCCCTACAGTTCTTACGCACCGCACTACGACTCCACGTTTGCCAACATCAGCAAGGATGATTCTGATTTAATCTATTCGACCTACGGGGAGGAAGACTCGGACATTCCCAGTGATTTCAGGTGTGTCAGCAGCTCATCCGTGTTCTGAGTGCCCTGTTTTTCTGAAGTATTGATCTACACACGTGTGTCTAAGGGGGGGTGTCCAGACTGGAGGTGTGGTTTGGAGACGCTTAGTGCATGTGGAGGTCAGGAGGTAGATAGGTCACCCAGGGGTGAAGGAAGGGGAGGAGCACAGAGCGCCACCGGCTGAGCCTGGACCCCCCATCACTGAGCTCTCATCTTTGACAGTTTCCTCTGCATTTCATCCCACTGTACTCTCGATACTGTTTCGTTCTGTCATGGTGGTAACTGTGTCACTGGTAACATGTAAACAGTGCTGTGCCGGTGGAAAGTTGGACATGCTCTGTAAGGAAGGGCATCTGATGGGAGCAGCTGGCTGGATAGGCAGAGTGAGCCGGTGGAGATGAGTGTATGGCACTGACTTCCCTACATGCTCTCTTTCAGCATCCATGAGTTTTTGGCCACGTGCCAAGATTATCCGTACGTCATGGCAGATAGTTTACTGGACATTCTAACTAAAGGAGGGCATTCTAGGACCCTGCAGGAGTTGGAGATGGTAAGAATGCTCCTAAGGAAACCGGGCGGTTTGTTATCGGTGCCCAGGTGTTAGTGGTGCAGTTAGGAAGCTATGGGGTGAGCCAGTGTGACAGCTGGGCCCCATTTCCCTGAGACGATGCCCAGTCCGGGTGGAGACTGGGTGGAGGACAATGAACGGGAACGGGTAATGCGGGTACCAGCATCTGAGGGCCAGAGAATGGTGACCATCTGGTCCTGGGCCCGTAGGCATCAGAAGTGGGGTTCACAGCTAGTGGTCAGCTGGCGCTGTGTGCCCTGCTCCCGGGCTGGAAGCTAAGTTGGCTAAAATGAGCGAGAATGTTCTTTTCTTTATTCTACAGTCAATGTAGTTGGTGGAGCCTCAAGCAACAAAGGAAAAGCTTCTTTGCTGTTCTTTTATTAACGCCTGTAAACTGTCCAGCTCATGTGAACGGAGTTCATGTTCTGGGATAATTTAGAGACTTGGCTCAAAGATCCGAACAGAAAATGTTCCAATATAGAGAATTGCTCTCCAGAATGTCCTTGTCACCATAGTTAGAGAAGCCCCTTTATCTCTTGGGCGGTCATGACTTCCAGATGGCCGTGACAGGGGTTGCCTTGTCCTCCACCCTCCCTGTACGTATGGGTCGGTCCTGGGGTGACCTGTCAGCAAAGCAGAGTCAGCACCTGGGGCTCTGTGAGTGCTGTGCAGTCCAAGCACCCAACACGGTCCCTTTTACATCAGTTCTAGTGTTGACTGTACACCCTTCCCATCAGGACAACCTCAAACAGAAATTGAATCGCTCTCATTTGGCTGGTGTGACAGTGTTTCTTACCCTTTGATCTAACAATTGTTATTCTCAAAATGTATTCTGGAAAATAAGAAAAATGTATCTGTAAGGATACATTTGTTTTATCATTTTTAAAAATTGGGAATCGGTTAAATAAGTCACAGTACATCCTTTCAGGAAAAGATGACGTCATTACTGGTCCGTGCGTGTGTGCTGTCTCCGAGCACCAGGGCTGGGGAACTCACGTTCTCTGCAGCACCTGGGTGTGCACAGTAGCCCCTGCCGTCTGAGCGCACTGCCTCTGTTGACGTGGGACAGTCCCTAGAGGTCCTGTTTTCTGCCTATCAAAGGTTGACCTGTTACTGAAAACAGACTCCATTTATTTAGGTACTTATGCTGTTTAGCAAACACCTTCTTGAACAAGTGTAGCTCTTAGACCAGGCTTAGAGTTCCCATCGCCAGGTCGCTGGAAGCAGGTGCTCTCAAAACGCTAGTGACCACATCCAGTTCCGTCCCCGGGATCCATGTTCTTGTTCCTTTTCTCTTGCCATGAAACTCGGGCTATTTCTCTGTTTCCTTGATACTTGCCTTTCTCTCTACCTTGTAATAAAAAGTCGTTTTCTTCATCCTGCAGTCGTCACCTGAAGATGAAGGCCAGACGAAGACACTTGACACAGCAAAAGAAATAGAGGTGATTATATTTTTTTATAAAAAATATTTACATGGAGCCCTGGCCGGTTTGGCTCAGCGGTTAGAGCGTCGGCCTGCGGTCCTGAGAGGCCCGGGTTCGGTTCCCGCTAAGGGCGCGTACTTCGGTTGCAGTTTGTCCCCGGCTCTGGTTAGTCGTGCGGGTGGCAGCCACTCGATGTGTCCCTTTCCCATCGATGTTTCTCTCTCTCTCTCTGTTCCTCTCTCTCCCTCCCACTCTACCTGAACAAAGAATGGAAAAATATCCTCGGTTGAGGATTAAAAAAAAAAATATTTACATGGAGATAAAGCTTTGTTTGAAAAGACAAATGTTTATTGAGTGTCCACTGAGATAGAGGACTGTTGGTGCCTGTAGGGAGCGGTGCCTGTAGGGAGCATGGTGGTAGCTGGTGAGTAAACAAGCCGGTCAGCGAGGGAGTGACCTCCATGGTCGAGCCGAGCGCAGGGCCCTGCGGACCTTGGAGAGTGGGCAGCCGCGGGTGCCTGGGCGGGGCTCGTGGGCAGCGCCGAGGAGTTCAGATTTTGTCCCAGGAGATAGGTGCTGCGATGAGCTGTGTCGGGCTGTGGGGCCTGTCCAAGCAGAGGAGAGCTTGGACCGATGTGAAGGGAGAGAGCTCAGCTCTGCAGTGAAGAGGACCCAAGAACTGCATGGACAGGACCTGGTGTCTGAGGTCGGGCAGTGGCTCGGGTTGGGAGCACAGGAAAGGGGTGCCTTCGGTTCCCCATGTGGTGGAGTGTGGGTTAGTGTGGTCACTGAGGTCAGCGCGACCATCCAGGAGAACACCTAGACCAGGAAGCCTCGAAGGGCAGAGCCTTGGAGAAGACCAGCAGTTAAGGCGGCACAGCATGAGGACACTGGGCGCCAGGGGCTGAGGAGAAGCCCAGAAACAGGGACGAGTGTCATGTGTAACCTTAGATGAATCAGTAGCATGGTGGGGACAAGAGGGAGACTTGAGTGAACTGAGCAAGTGGGAACACTGGGACGTTGACGGTCTGAGACATACTTAAGCCCTTTACTGAGGTACAAAACCCTAAAGGTGTGAGCTCAGGTAAAGGTGGGTGCAGGTGTGTGTGGTGGTTACACCCCCACGTCCGTTCCAGGAACAGCCCAGCGAGGTCATGTGCTTGGTGAGGGTCCCAGTGGGTCCTGACAGCTGTCCCACCCTGACTTCAGCCGTGTTCTGATCGAGCTTAGAGTGCAGACCAGTCTGACCGAACCGTCAGCTCTCAGGGTCTGCTCAGGGTCTGGGTTGGTTGGTTCCTAAAAGGCAGCCTGGAGGTCGTAGAGACCAAGTCATGTGAATCCAGAATTAAAGCTCCACCCATTTTGGGGTTTTATTTCTCCTGTGCAATACTGACAGCCTGGCTTTGGGGCTGTTGGGAGACCCAGGAAGTATCTCACGTACAAGGTCCCCTATAGGAGTGTAGGTCAGCAGACGGGGGGTGACATGGTCTGTGAGCCAAGGAGACGGGGCGGGTCCCAGTGACCAACGCTCTGCACAGCAGCGCAGTCCTGGGCTGCGGCCACTCCGCACCCCGAGTGGCTGGCATGTGAGACTCCACCACACTGTGCAGGGCTGTGGACACTTGTCGCCTGGCTTTGGGAATGGCGTTTTTATAGACATCAGATTACAGCTGCAAAGTAAGTCGGGAGAATAACTGGGCTGTGAACACAGGCTGTCTTACTGATTTCTCATTCTAGCACGGTCGGGAGGGCTTAACACGCTCAAGTACTTCCTTTCTTGAAAGCAGGGTCCAGAAGGAGAGCTGGCAGGGCGGTTCGACTGTGGTCAGGACAGGCTCACTGTGCTGGAGGCGGTGGCCAGCTTGGGTGCTCCCGTCCAGGTGTTTGGCTCTGAAGGTGAGTGTCCGGGCAGCTGAGACCGTGCTGGGCTCAATTTGGGGACTAACGATAACCTCTGAGCATGGGGCTCATTGACGGCCGCGAGCAGGTGATCAGTGTTGCTTGCCCCGCAGAGGCCGAGGTGTTCCAGCGGAAGCTCGACGAGACCACCCGGCTGCTCAGGGAGCTCCAGGAAGCCCAGAACGAGCGCCTGAGCGCCAGGCCCCCTCCCAACACGATCTGCCTCCTGGGGCCCTCGTACCGAGAGATCCATCTGGGTAGGTCGTGCCTCCGGCAGGGGGAGCACCCGGAGGGATCCGGTGGACACTGGATTTTTGCACTTACATACTTTTTAACTTTTAAAAATATTGATAAATAAACCACATTTCAATACCCAGAACGGTTTTCATTTTTTTCCTAGCTGAACAGGTGACCAATAACCTTAAAGAGCTTACACAGCAAGTAACTCCAGGAGATGTCGTCAGCACGTACGGAGTTCGGAAAGCCATGGGCATCTCCGTGCCCCGCCCGCGCATGGGGAGCAGCCTGGTGGATCTAACCGAAGGTGCGTGTGAGGGCTGTCGGCAGATTTCACTTCTGCACGTTGTTAGTGTGTCGGCTATTAGTTCTTTACAGAACTGAAGGGTTTAGACATTTGTGAAAGAGCTACGGTGGTCACCTAATAATGCACGTGGTCTCCGGCCTGTGCGGAGGGCCTGTCCGCACCTGTCCCTGCACGGCCCTTTTTTTGCATTTATCTTCAGATGGGGGGCGGGCATCGATGTGAGAGACACACCGAGTGGTTGCCCACACGACCCCAGCTAGGGCCAGAGACAAACTGCAACCGAGGTACATGCCCTTAGTGGGAACCGAACCCGGGACTCTGCAGGCCGAGGCTCTAACCGCTGAGCAGAACTGCCTGCACAGCCCTGTTCACCAAGCAGAACACTCCACAAGCTCTTTCCTTGCAGATCGTGAAGAAGCTACGAAGACCGATGCTGAGTGTGGACCTGAGGGGACTTGATTATATATTATGTGTATATTTTTTCATTAACCTGGAAATGCTTTTCAAAATATTTGTAAATTGTGTTTTTAATTAAACTTTGGAACAATTAATTTAATGTTCCAGAGACTGGCCTCTTGTTGGCAGCAGAGCTGTCCTGGGACTAAGAGCTGGACGGTAACGGGGGAGAAAGCAGCCTCCGAGCCACCTCTGCTGGAAGCAGCTGCTGCAGATGGGAAGCCCCTTCCACAGCCTTCCCAACCTACCAGATTCGTTTGACTCAAAGCGGGCCTGTTGCCCCACAAAGCTAGAGAGAGTAGGGGTGGGCGGGGCTCTCGGGACTGCTGGTTCAGATGCAGTTGGGCAGCCATGGCCTATTCTAAAGTCAGGACATTCGGCTTTTCCAGACTGGTTCAGCTTCCCATGTGTTAAATTACCAATCAGAAACCCTGGAACTTTATAAAAATGAAATAGAACATTTTCAAGCAAACACTACAGGCCTGTGAACACGAGTGCACAGAATGAGCCTGGCCACGTGCACATCTGCGTCACTGGCTGACGCAGTGCTCGGCCTGCTGTCTGTGCCGTGGGAGCTTCTCTGGCCGAGAAGCTCGGGGTCTTTCACGAGCTGGTGAGGACAGAAAAGGGACCTGTCCTGTCATAAAACAAAAGGACACGTGTAAAGGAGTGACTTGCTCATTAGAAAACAGGTTTATAAAAATAACTGCAAGTGACTTCTGTGGTCAGTTGTACACTCCGATCTGAACATTGAAACCGAATCTTATCTGAGCAGTGCTTAACTGGAAATAAAAAACATACATTAATGGTGACCAGTTATTTTTTAAACTCCCAACCGGGATTTCTGTCGCTGGAAGAAACAAGCAGCTTGAATGTCGAGCAGGAAAGGCCCCTGCACACTGATGTGCGCCTGCGCGGGCCCTCCCTGACCCCCCGGAGCCTGCTCGCCCTGTCCCACGAGGCCAGCCCTGCGCGTGACCGGGTGGTGTAGAGGCAGATTCCTTCCTACAGCAAGTTCCTGCACTTGTTCATACCATTCCAGTCACATGCAGCGTCACTGCTGCCCGGCACCGTGTACGTCAGGGTGAGACGCTGGCAGCTGGCCCCTCGGCCCAGGCAGCCCTCGATGTCAAGTCGCTGCTAGCACGGTCTGTGATCTCGGGAACCCCACTGTGCAGTGACCTCACCTGTACTAGGTCCTGGGCTGCTCTGGTCACGAGGCAGTGCAGTCAGATCAGAAAAGGAGTGGCAGGTTGGTTGGTTCTCAGGGTGGGGCCGGGTTGGGCTCTGGATCCTGCAGAGGTGAGGCTCACAGATGGCTCTGTGCACCTGCACTGATCCCTTCAGCCAGCGTCTCCGCAGCCCCGAGGGCCTCCCACGTGCCCTCGCTGAGTGCTGGCTCCTGGCCGACGCTCCTCGGGGCTGGTGTGCAGGTAGCAGACAGGACGGTGCACTGGCGCCCGCGCTCCAGGCCGCTTCTCCAGTCAGCGTGGTTGCGAGACGCACGGAGGCTCACCAGGAGCCCGGAAGTGCATGGTCGAGGGTGAGGTTGGTTGTGACGAATCTTCTAGGCTTTTTGCTTATCGAACCTAACCTCAAAATGGAATCCAAGTGGTCTGATCCAAAGCCAAGGCCACGCTGCCCCGCTGGCTCGCTCAGAGCCCTGTTCCAGAGAGCTGCGTCCCCACCACCAGCCAATCCCACCAGCTGATGGGGGACAGCAGCCCCGCTGAAGTGCCGGCGGTTAGAGGCCGGGCGGGCGCGGGAGGGAAGAGGTTTGCCTAGTGTCTGACATCATTAAAAAGTATAAAACCTCCATTAATAAGGTGTCCATTTAAAACAAACATGCCAGAGATGGTGAGGAATGCGTCCACCGTGCTTTCTTCCCACCACGAAACCATTTCTGGACTGGGAACACCCCGGTTCTAGCCACCAGAATGCCTGGGCGAGCGGCAGTCCCGCCACTGGGCAAAAGGCGTCCCCAGCCCACCCGACAGTGTGTCAGCCCTGTACCAAGAGGACGGGTGTCATTTGCGCGGCTGGCGGCCACAGCGGGTGTGTTCGGTCGTGCTCCGCGGCCTCCACGGCAGGCAGGACCTGAGCGAGGATCTGACACTCCGGGGCCTGTTGCTGCCAGGCTGGAGGCTGTGCCCACCTGTGCAGTGAGCACCTGGGGCCGGCGTGTGTGTCCAAGTCTTCTTGTGCAAGTCCCAGGAAGCCACGCACAGCCACCTGTCGGGTGGTGGTGGCCCTGCCCGTGGAACACCCGTGGCTGGCGTGGGCTGTCTTCCTGTCGGCTTGCTTCGGGGCAGCGGTCGGCCCCCGGCATGTCCTGCCCCTACCAGCAGCCTCAGTTCAGCCCAGGCCCTTGGAACTTGGCGGTGTCCGTGCAGACAAAGTAAGTCCTCAGCTCCCCTTTGCCTTTGACATTGATCAGTCCGCGGCACTCACAGGAGTAGCCGAGTCCCTGGAGGATGGTGCACGTCTCCTCTGTCACCTGGAGAGAGGGGAGACGGGCCTAGAACCAGCAAGGACAGCTGCCGTGGTGGCCAGGGCGAGTCTGCTTCCCTCAGGGTTTGATGCTGGGTCAGTGAGCGCCGCCACGTCCCCTCACCTCCAGGAGGTGCCTCCCTCCTCGGTCCCGGGCCCCAGCTGGGTTTACCTGGATTTTCCCAAGTTGTCCAGTGCTCTCCATCCTGCTGGCGACGTTGACCGTGTTTCCCCAGATGTCGTACTGGGGCTTCCGCGCCCCGATGACCCCAGCAATCACAGGCCCGTGGTTTATGCCTGGAGGTGATGTTTGTAGTCGGCAGGTCACAGAGGCCCAGCCTCAGGGTTCTGCCCCTGGGGAGGCCACCAAACCCACCACCAGCCACAGGATGCTCCTACGGAACTGAAGGAAGGCTGAACGGAGCTTCCCACGTGGGGCCTGCTCACCACACTCCCTGGGTCTGGGTGACACCAGTCCTAGCCTCTGCTAATTTTTTTTTTAATCCTCACCCAAGGATTTCTTTCTATTTATCTTCAGATGGGGAGGGAGGGAGGGAGGGAGAAACATTGATGTGAGAGAGACACACTGACTGGTTGCCTCCCACATGACCCTGACCAAGGCCCAGGGTGAACCGCAACTGAGGTAGGTGCCCTTGACCGAAATTGAACCCGAGCTGACACTCTAACCACTGAGCCAAACCGGCCAGGGCCTCTGCTAATCTTTTTTTTTTAATCCTCTCCCAAGGATTTTTTTTTGCGGAGAGGGGGGAAGAGAGAAACATCGGTTCTGGCCGGTTTGGCTCAGTGGTTAGTGTCAGCCTGCAGACCAATGAGTCGTGGGTTCGATTCTGGTCAAGGGCATGTACCTCAGTTGTGGTTTGTCCCCAGCAACTAGTCAATGTGGCTCTATCACATCAATGTTTCTCTCTCTCCTCCTCCCGCCCACCCTATCTGATAATAAGTAGAAAAATATCCTCAGGTGAGAAATAAAAAACAAAAAAACTCTTCAAGTCAAAGGAGAGAGAAACATCGATGTGAGAGAGACATCGAGTGGTTGCCAACCACACGACCCCAACGGCCAGGGACAAACTGCAACCAAGGCACATGCCCTCAGCAGGAACCGAACCCGGGCCTCACCGGTCTGCTGGCCAGGGCTCTGCTAATCTCCTAACAGTGAAGGGGTCTGAGCCCGGCCCTGTTAGCTCAGTGACCACTTAGACCAACAACGTGGTTCCCAGGTGATTTAAGCTGGTGGTCTTGGCTTCTCCGTTTTCTGTAAGAACGTATTAGTAAAACTTTCAAAGGTGACTGTATCAGTGGTGTGTGAGGACCACTGGGGCCGTAAAATCAGGGGTCTCTAGCACCTTCACAGTAGATGGGCGAGAACACCTGAGGGGGCCTGCCCACAGCGCCCTGCGCCCCCTGCCCGCGGGCCTCACCGACTCGGAGGCGGAAGGAGTTGAAGGAGTGCCTGTTGATCCCGTCCAGCTTGTTCATCAGGGCCATGCTGAACTCCACCATGATGCCGATGTGGGCATGCTGCCGCTCCAGGTCCTGCGGGCAGAGCGCGGGGCTGGGCCACGGCTCACCCCGCCTCTGCCCCGACTGCGGTGCCCGGGCCACGGCTCACCCCGCCTCTGCCCCGACTGCGGTGCCCGGGCCACGGCTCACCCCGCCTCTGCCCCGACTGCGGTGCCCGGGCCACGGCTCACCCCGCCTCTGCCCCGACTGCGGTGCCCGGGCCACGGCTCACCCCGTCTCTGCCCCGACTGCGGTGCTGGGCCCCGGCTCACCCCGCCTCTGCCCCGACTGCACTAATGGACACTCCGGCGCACCCTGAACTGGCGCACCACGCGGGCACGGAGGGGCTAGTGGTGGGCAGAGACGGGCCAGTGGCTCCCGCACAGAGGGCCCAGGACCTGCCCCACCCCCACAGGTCAGGGACTTGAATTCCCTCAGGCCGGGACGTGAGACCAGCAGAGTGGCCGAGTACCTGGTTCTCGTGCCCTGAAGGGACGCTGAGCCCAGCAGCGGCCATGTAGGTGCTGCCGATGGTCTTGATCTTCTCCACGCTGCTGAACTTGGGCTTGAGCAGCAGCTGCAGAAGAGACGGGGCCACGGGGCAGCTGCAGGCCCGCCCCAGCTCGGAGGGTGTGGCCCCCTGCCCCCTCTGCTGCCCACGTTCTCCCGCCAGGCCCTCCCCCTGCCTGTCTTCCCCACCTCCCCATTCCTGTCTGGACTCTGGTTCCCGCTAAGGAGCCGGTTGGTTCCATGGCAGCATCCACAGGCCTGTCAACCACCAAGCCCGCCTCCCACTCAGGTCGACAGCGAGGGCTTAGCTGGAAGCCACCTTCCCGAGGACGGGCCGGCGGAGCCGGCGCCCGCAGGTGACCCTGATACAGCGGCCGAGCACACCTGCACCCTGGCGCCGCCGCGCCCGCGGGTCCCACCTCGTCAAAGTCGGCGATGATCTCGTTCAGCAGGCGCAGGCACTCCAGTCCCTCCTTGTTGACGTCGCACTCGGTGTAGAACACCTTGAACTCTGGCACCGAGGCGAACATGACGCAGACGCAGTCATAGGACTGATGGTACCAGTCCTGGGCGGGGGAGGGAAGAAGTGCCTGGGAGCGGGCAGCAGCTGCGGGTGCTGCACCGGGAGGGGCAGGCTGGGCCCCCACCCGGCTGCACAGGAGGGTCGTGGGCCCTTGAAGAGCGGTTGTCAGGTGGCTGGGGAGGGTCAGGCCCGGGTTGGTTCTTGGCTCTCAAATGCCCTGATTCTGCAGAGTGGGGCTGAGGGGGACAGCCAGGAGCCGGGCTCTCTGTGACGTCGGCACAAGGCGGGTGGGAGAGACTGAGCCCACAAACAACCCGACACACCTGGTCTTCGCCACCATCCTGCCGGCCCATCTCACGGGTGCACCTGGGCCCAGGGCTGAGCACCTGGCTGCCCGGGTCTCTGCCCCCAGGCCTGTGTCCCTGGGGCGCACGGGGAGCACTGCGCAGCGATGCCCTTCACCGTGCCCTCCGGCTCCCGGCCCCAGCGACCTCGCACCTCCTCTAACTTGTCCCCGATGGAGTGGGCGGCCACGTGGGCGGGCGGCACGTTCCCCAGCGACCTCCCACCTCATCTGACTTGTCCCCAATGGAGTGGGCGGCCACGTGGGCGGGCGGCACGTTCCCCAGCGACCTCGCACCTCATCTGACTTGTCCCCAATGGAGTGGGCGGCCACGTGGGCGGGCGGCACGTTCCCCAGCGACCTCGCACCTCATCTAACTTGTCCCCGATGGAGTGGGCGGCCACGTGGGCGGGCGGCACATTCCCCAGCCACCTCGCACCTCATCTGACTTGTCCCGGATGGAGTGGGCGGCCACGTGGGCGGGCAGCACGTTCCCCAGCGACCTCGCACCTCATCTAACTTGTCCCGGATGGAGTGGGCGGCCACGTGGGCGGGCAGCACGTTCCCCAGCGACCTCGCACCTCATCTAACTTGTCCCGGATGAAGTGGGCGGCCACGTGGGCGGGCAGCACGTTCCCCAGCGACCTCGCACCTCATCTAACTTGTCCCGGATGGAGTGGGCGGCCACGTGGGCGGGCAGCACGTTCCCCAGCGACCTCGCACCTCATCTAACTTGTCCCGGATGGAGTGGGCGGCCACGGTGGGCGGGCAGCACGTTCCCCAGCGACCCTCGCACCTCATCTAACTTGTCCCGGATGAAGTGGGCGGCCACGTGGGCGGGCAGCACTGTTCCCCGCGACCTCGCACCTCATCTAACTTGTCCCGGATGAAGTGGGCGGCCACGTGGCGGGCAGCACGTTCCCCAGCGACCTCGCACCTCATCTAACTTGTCCCGGATGAAGTGGGCGGCCACGTGGGCGGGCAGCACGTTCCCCAGCGACCTCGCACCTCATCTAACTTGTCCCGGATGAAGTGGGCGGCCACGTGGGCGGGCAGCACGTTCTCCAGCAGCAGGCGGTTCACGCTCTCCATGGTCTCGAATTCCTCGTGCTCCTTCTTGAACTTCTTCTTCCACAGGCAGTCCAGGCGGCAGTAGTAGTCAATCTGCGGACGGGACGGTGGTCCTGGCCCAACAGCTGGGGGCCCACGTGTACCCCTGCCCATCGCCTGCCCACCCTGTGCCCCACAGGTCACTCGGGTCCCAAAGGCAGCTAAGGACACCGACTGGAGACTAGACCATGGCTTTGCCACAGGGCTGTCTGGCCCAAATCTGAGGCAGCCCAGCCCCCTGTCCCCCTCCAGGGGCGGGCAGGTCGGCTGTGGCCTGGGCTCACCTGTCTGGACAGCATGATGAGTGTGGCGTAGAACAGAACCAGGTAGAAACTGATCATCGTCTTCAGATCCCTCCACAAACAGGCCGAGGAGCTGCTGGACATCAAGGGGGGGGGGCAGGGGTCATTTCCAGCTCCCACCTGGCCCCCAAACACAGGGTGCGGTGTGGGGTGCAGGCTCAGTGCCCCCCACCAAGAGCTGCCAATTCCGAGGCATCTCTGCCCGCAGTGCTCAGTCCCCGCAGTGCAGACAGTAAACAAGACAAAAGAGGACTTCAGGGAAAGAAACGGGGTACAGGCCAGAGGTCGGCTAGGCGTGGGGGCCTGAGATGACATCTGAGCTCACACCGGGATGACAGGAACAGCCGCCCCGCACTGGCCAAGAAAGCCCCCGGCAGTGATGGAGCCAAGAGGGTGCAGGGGGTCAAAGTGTGTGGACGGTAGGAGCTGCAGGTGCAAGCCACACTGGCCGGGGTCCCACACCCCAGCCTTTTAGTTCAAGGGAGCTCTTCTCCGGTGGGGCCCAGAGCCCCCAGAACCATGCACACAGCCCTTCCTGTGTGACAGGTGGCACCCGCTCGTCCAGGAACAGCAGATACAAGTGCTCTTTCCAGAACTCTGGCTGAAGCCTCCTCCTCCCCAAGCCCAGACCGGCCAAAAGACAGGACAGCCTGGATGGTCTCCGTGGGACCAGGGACAGTCCCCAGAGAACCTGCCAAGGTGTCACACTCGGTCCGAGAGCTGCAGACCTGGAAACCTTCCTTCCTTCCTTCCTGTCAAGTAGAAATCACGCAGCCCCCCCCCCCCAACGGTTTCCCACCAGAGGGGGTGTGGTTTGAAATGACAGACAGGTGCTACAACAGCAGTGGGATGGGGTCCTGGTGGCGAGTGGTGGCCTACCTGAGGGTGGCGTTGGTCTCGGTGAGGTTGCCCAGGCTGCGGCCGCAGCAGCCCCCCTGCACGCACAGGGCGGTGTTGAACAGCACCAGGTAGGCCACCAGGGCCACGGTCAGCAGCACGACTTTCAGCTCCAGGCTCATCCTCAGGAAGACAGAGCAGGCGACGAAGGCCAGGATGCAGCTGCAGGTGTAATACTGGGGAGATGGGGTGCTGGTCACCCCACCATCTCCTGTATCTGAGACACCTCCTGGACCAGTCGTCACCAGAGGGAGGGACGCCTTTAGCACTTGGGAACTCCGTGGAGAGCCAGTGTCTTCAGCATCCCCTTCCTGCCTCCCTGACCTCCCTTCTTCACAACCAGGCAGCAGCGAATCTCTTTCTGCTACTATGTCGTTTCTACTGTTACTGTACTTCTACTTCCGGCAGGGGAACTGTTTAAAGGGATAATGTGACAATGTCGTTTCTACTGTTACTGTACTTCTACTTCCGGCAGGGGAACTCGTTTAAAGGGATAATGTGACAATGTTGTTTCTACTGTTACTGTACTTCATTTAAAGGGGAATAATGTAACAAACGCCGTGGTGTGGAGACGTGACACGGGGCGGGGGCGGGGGCACGCACATGCCTGAACAGCCTCCCTGCCTCGTTTTTGCCATGAGCTTGCCCTTCCCAAAGTGCATCCCTGCCCACATTACTCTCCTGCTCAAGATCAGGCCGTGGCTGCCCAAGGCCCCCAGAATGACCACCAAACCCTTCTCCCTCGCGCGCACGCCCTGCCTGGAGCCGAATCAAAACACCGCTGGCCACCAGCCGCCCCGTGGACGAGCACTGAAACCTGCCCCTCCTCCCCTGCGCTGGCCTTTCTGCCCCCGAGAGAACAGCTCAAAATGCATGGCTGCCTCTCAGAAGTCCCACGTGCCCTCAGGCTGCTGTGGGCTCCCGGTGTCGGCCCGCCTCCTGGTCAGCAAAACGGAGACCTGGCCGGCCGGCCACAGAGCGGGTCCGGAGCACGCACTAGCACGGGCGCTCCCACCCGCGCCCAGACGCCCGGTCTCCAGCTCCGCCCGCGTGCACTCGGCTCTGCCACGCGCCAGGGCAGCAAGGGGGGGCACTCACTGGCAGGAGCTCGCACGGGGTCCTCTCCCTGCTGCTCGCAGCCTTCGGGCTCGTCTGGTTCCCCGCCGGCGGCCCCAGGGAAGAAAGCGGCTACAGAGAAGACAGGTCCCCGCGGGGGCGGTCAGGGCCTGGCACTCCAGGGCCTGCCGGGGCTGAGCAGGGCTGGGCCCAAGGCCTCTGCCAGCATCACAGGCGTGTGTGCCCAGAGTGCCCGCCTGACCCCACGGCAGCACCAGCATCACAGGGGAGGGACAGGGGTGTCAAAGGCAGACACACGGGCACCACCCTGGAGCTTGAGGCTGATGCAGCTGGGAGAGGCTGGGACCAGCACTTCCAAGGAGCAGCCTTCTCTGCAGGCGAGGCTCAGGGAGGTAGGTGGTCAGAGCGTCGGGGCACAGAGGTGGGGACACCCCGACTCCAGACATGGGGCCTGGGCCGCCCAGCAGCAATGAGTGAGGCATGCAGCACCTGAGCGCAGCCCACGGGGCAGGGGCTCCGTGCCCTCCCAGCTTGTCCCCGGGCAGCTCCCAAGTCTCCAGGAGGGTGAGACGGGGCCTCCTCGGGGGCCCGGGATGCTGCTTCTGGACATATGCGGGGCTGGCCACACGCATGCTCTGGGGCACCCATTTAAAAACTGAAGGGTGAGGAGCTCTAGGGCCACGGAACCTCCCACCCCGGCCTCGGGGCTCCGGACAGGGGTACACCACGTGGAGCTTTTAGGCCACAAGACACAGGAGTGGAATCTGCAGATTCCCAGGGTCAGGACTGGCTCCCTCCACCCGGGAAGCGCACACAAGGGTCCTTCCCGGGGCCCACCCCCACCCCCACCCTCACGGCCTGAACCCACCAGGTTGAATATGGCGATAGTGAGCAGGCTGCCGATGGTCAGGACGGCCAGGGACAAGCGCAGCAGCGGGTGAGTCTCCACCCTCTCAGACACGGCCCGGCGCATCCCCCGGGCTGGGCAGCACCTCTGGAATCACAGGGTCGATTCACGCAGTCGCAGCCGCAGCCCGAGGGGACTGCCTAGGCTTTGGCAGGGGAAGCCCAGCCTGAAGGCCCAGGAGACGTGAGAGCCCCTGGGAACTCAGCCAGGGCAGCCAGTACCCGTGCAGTGCACAGAAGGGACATGCCACCCCCGAGGCCACTTAGGGACCATTAACAGGCCGGGCACAGCGGAACCCACAGAAGTGTGGGGAGCATCCAGTGACTGTCCCCGAGACGTGGGATGGAGGGGGGCACATGAGCAGAGCCCTCCAGGGAGGGTCCAGGGGCAGGGGCTCACATCTCCACAGCCTCAACACCTGTGGGGCCCAAACAGGGGCTCAATCCTGGGCCTCCCCACTCACCAAGAACTGGTCAGCAAAGCACAGGCCCAGCACCAGCCCCAGCACGCAGGCCACCAGCCCAAAGGACACCCCCAGAGCCGCTGTCCTGGAGAGGGAGGGCAAACCTAAGTTCTGGGGGCTCATCTGCTCAGGGCTAAGCCTCGGACATGCTCCCCCACCCCTCCCAGCACCCCAGCTCTCAGGTGCATGGCCTCCGTCTGCCCCCTCACAAACTGCTATTTTATACCCAGCCAAGAGGCCCTTTGCAAACCTGTCCAGCTGCCCCACGAACAGCACACAAGGCCTGGCCAAAACATGAAGCCCAAATCAACCCACATCCCTGCTCCGGGCCAACTGTGTCGGAAGTGAGTGAACACGCAGCCTGGAGTCAGGAGCGCGTCAGAAGTTCCACGTAAACATGTCCTATCTTTAGTGAGCGTGTCCTAAACCATGACACTCATGCCACGGCCTCACTACCCTTCCAGAACCAACAAGCAGCTGACCTTCCTTCCTCCCTGCTCCTCACACCTCCGTCCAGCCCCACCAGGCAGAAGCGGGCATCTCCGCATTGCACCCCGACAAGGCGTTACCCACCCCCCCGAGCCTCGGTTTCCCCCAGCTAAGGGCACGCGGAGGACAGGGAAGCCCCTCAGGCGGAGCCCACACTGAAGTGCCCGCGGGCCGGGCAGGTAGCAGGTGACTTGGAAGGTGAGAGGCCATGGGAGTCGGGGGCCTGTCTCCAGCTCGAGGGAGCAAGCACGTCCAAGTAACGCAAAATCGAAGAGCCAGTTACACCAGGTGTGGGGGACACAGGTCTGAGCCCGTTTCCGGGACTCCGAGGCCTCATGGTGCTGAACTCTTTAACAGGTGGCCCCTCCTGCCTGACCCCAGTGGGCGTGGCCATCCGGCTCACCCGCTACTGACCTGGGCATCAGCAGGAGGTGGACGAGCAGAATGCAGACGAAGATCAGGCCGGCACAGGCGAAGTAGTGGCGGGCCCGGGGGATGGGTGCCAGGCGGTACTGGGAGCAACAGAGAGGTGAGGGGCGGCCAGGACGGCTGAGGCCCCAGCGCAGGGCCACCTGCTCTGACCCTCCTCCGGCCAGCTCAAGTTAGTCACCTTAAAGAAGCCTCACCCCTCGGAGTTGAAGGCGAAGTCACATCCTCACAAATGAACAACCACATTTGTTCCCATGTTGTGTTTGGAGGTGACACCCCCTACGCCCCCCATCTCCCAACATCCCTGGAAAGCCCCGGGCCCAAGTCTGCAGCTGAGAACCAATCTGAGCTCCGGCACTGCCGTGATGAGCTGGTGGTGGGTCTGTCCTCGGCCAGACCCACCACCAGCTCATCATGGGGGCCAGCCCAGCCTGGTCTCCTGCCTGGGGGGCCAGCCCGGCCTGGTCTCTGCCTGGGGGGCCAGCCCGGCCTGGTCTCTGCCTGGGGGGGCCGGCCTGGTCTCTGCCTGGGGGGGCCAGCCTGGTCTCCGACCTTGCTGCTATAGCAATGTGCTCTTGTGCCATCAGTGATCATCTTGTTTATTGAGCGCCTACTGGGTTCTGGCCATGTCCCAGGCACCCAGGTGATGTCATTTAACCCCCAGGACAGCTAGGGTGGGCCCTGCCAACCATCTCACAGACTCTTTGAGGTTTGGGGGCATCTTGGCCTCAGTGGTGGGCCTTCTCCCACGTCGGCCTCCAGGGTGGGGGCTGGCTCTAGCTGGGTTCCCTGAGTTAGGGGTTCCCTGGGTGGGGAGCTTGGGGTCTGGAGGCAGATGTGGTCACCAGGACACCTGCCTAGGGGCCTCCGGGCCGTGTGGCCCGGGCATGCTGCAGGCTGAGTACACCAGGAGCCTTTGATGGTGCCAGGTGTGGAGGGACAGGCAGCTCGGGGTCCCTGCCTGGCAGCTCGGGGCTCGGCTGACCTTACTCCTCAGTCTGGGCCGAGGACCAGGCAGGAGACCAGGCTGGCCCCCCAGGCAGACGCCAGGCCGGCCCCCCAGGCAGGAGACCAGGCTGGCCCACCAGGCAGAGACCAGGCCGGGTCCCCCAGGCAGGAGACCAGGCCGGGCCGGCCCCCCAGGCAGGAGACCAGGCCGGCCCCCCAGGCAGACGCCAGGCCGGCCCCCCACACTGAGCTGGGGCTTCCCTGACCACAGGCCCACTCGGCCCTGAGGCTGCCCTGGCCCTACCAGCTAAGTGTTGGCGCTTGAAGGGAACAGAGACTCCCAAACCCCGTGGTTGTGTCACAAATGGGGGCATGTCAAATACAGGGGTGAGGCCAGCAGGCTGAGCCTCTGTCCCCCCACGTCAGCTGGCGCCGTCCCCACCACCTGCCCGCCTCGCCCTCCGGCACTGCCCAGGCCTCACCTCTCGCTCGAAGCCCTTCTCCAGGAAGAGGGACCCGAAGGTGTAAAAGTCGTCGGACTTGGAGCAGCAGGGCCTGCGGGGGGGGGACAGGAGTGGACATTGGGGGGCGGGCAGCAGGGCCTGGGGGGGCGGCAGGAGCGGACATTGGGGGGCAGGCAGCAGGGCCGGCAGGAGTGAGTATTGGGAGGCAGCAGGGCCTGGGGGGGGCAGGAGCGGGTATTGGGGGGGCAGCAGGGCCTGGGGGGCAGCAGGAGCGGACACTGGGGGGCAGCAGGGCCTGGGGGGTGGCAGGAGTGAGTATTGGGGGGCAGCAGGGCCTGGGGGGGCAGGAGCGGGTATTGGGGGGACAGCAGGGCCTGGGGGGCAGTAGTGGGTATTGGGGGGCAGCAGGGCCTGGGGGGGCGGCAAGAGCGGGTATTGGGGGGCGGGCAGCAGGGCCTGGGGGGCGGCAGGAGCGGGTATTGAGGGGCAGGCAGCAGGGCCTGTGGGGGGGCAGGAGCGGGTATTGAGGGGCAGGCAGCAGGGCCTGTGGGGGGGCAGGAGTGGGTATTGAAGAGCGGGGCAGCAGGGCCTGGGGGGGCGGCAGGAGTGGGTATTGAAGAGCGGGCAGCAGGGCCTGGGGGGCGGCAGGAGCGGGCACTGGGGGGGCAGCAGGGCCTAGGGGGGGCAGGAGCGGGCATTGGGGGGCAGGCAGCAGGGCCTGGGGGGCGGCAGGAGCGGGTATTGGGGGGCCTGGGGGCGGCAGGAGCGGGCATTGGGGGGCAGGCAGCAGGGCCTGGGGGGGCAGGAGCGGGCATTGGGGGGGTAGCAGGGCCTGTGGGGGGGCAGGAGCGGGCATTGGGGGGCGGGCAGCAGGGCCCCCCTCAGGAACACCACGAGGAGGAGGAGGAGTTCCCCAGGACATGACTGGACAGAGCTGGGTCACTGGGGGGCCTGGCCACAGGGCCCCCCGGGAAGGAGGCAGGGAAGGGGGCAGGGAAGGGGGCAGGGAAGGGGGCAGGGAAGGGCCCCGGGAAGGGGGCAAGCGAGGCCAGACCCTCACCTCGTGGAGCTGAGCCCCTCGATGGCCGACATCATCTCGTCGTCATACGAGTCGTCCTCCGATCGCCCCTTGGGGGACGCACTTCTGGAATTGACACCCACACAGGCATCACCCCAGGGACCCGAGTCCTTGTGCAGGACGGCAAAGGGCCAGGCAGGGCCCACTGAGGCCCAGGGAGAACAAGTGAAGGCCTGGCATGGCCGTGGGCAGCAGCCCAGCAGGAAACAGACAGCAGAACCCCCCCAAAGCCTCTTCTCGGGCCAAGAGCTCCCTCACAGCCCCCTGCTGAGCCGCGACCCGGTGGCCCGCAGCCGCTCATCACGGCCAGTTCTGGTTTCTAGCTACGGCAACTCCATGGTCGGGGCCAGGCCTCACACAGCGCCCTCCTTGGCAGAGGCTAGGCAGGGCAGCCTGCCTGGAGGAGGTGACTGGGACAGGATTTGTTCAGAAAGTCAGGCCACCTTTTGCCAGGGGAAGGAACAATACACCTACCTGTCAGGGGTCCGGTGGCGCCGCAGGGGAATGGCCTGGAAGGGAGAAGAGACGGTTAGTCCCCAGAACATGGGGGCGAAAGTCCATCCTGGGCCTGGGCCTATTATCTCTGATACACACAGACAGGATGCAGGGACTATCTCGGCTGCAGACATCTAAACCAAAGCTAAATTCTGGGGAACGAGGAAGACGGAGACATCCCAGCCACCCTGGCCCCTTCTCCATACACCTTCACGTCCCTAGGAGGGAGGCAGGGCAGAACGGGACGCATTTCACAAGTGGGGAAAGTGAGGGTTGGCTGGAAGGACCCTTTAGCACAGGCTCTCCCGGGCCCCAGCTCCTCGGGGGGACGGGGCCTACCTTGGGCCTCTGGCCATTGGGGACAAGGGTCTCGCTGCTGCTGATGCTCTCTCGGTGGTTGAGGTGGGCAAAGGGCCGCGCAGCCCCCCAGGACTCCAGGTAGCGGGTCATGCGCACGGACGCTCGCATCTTCAGGGCTGCGTCCCCCTTGGGCTTGGCGAGGTGCTGGCTGGGTGGGGGCGGCTGCTGGCTCTGCGGGGACACACAGGCACGGCCTGTCCCACAGGCGCACTGCCCAGGGCACGGCCCGCCCGGCCGGAAGGGAGGACGGCGAATGACTGCGGGGTCCGCAGTCCTCGGGGACGGGCTGAAGCCCCCTGCACTCCTTGGCCGGCTGGAGGGGTGGCCCCAACTTGGGTCTGGGCCTCCCCATCCCAGGAGTAGCCAAGTCACAACTGTGCACACCCCCTCACACCCTTCTGTCTCCCCAGGCAGAGAACGCGTTCAGGACCTAAGCCCTAAGGCCCAACTTGCCCTCCTTGGAGCCAGATACTGTCCTTGGGGCCTGAAAGCCCAATGCCCCCCTTCCCATCAAGGCACCTGGGGAGACTGTCCCAGGGAAGCCACAGGCATCCAGCCCTGCCTGCCGCATGTGGCTGGCACATGTCCTTCCTGCGGGTCCCAGCCCAGGGAAGAGGGTGCTGGCTGCAACCCAGAGAGGCAGAGAAATGTCCCACCAAGGGGCCGATCCCTCACCCCCCTGGGGCACCATTCTAGGGATCTCCACTTGTGTGGCCCCCAAACCACAGCAGAGGTCCATCGCTTGCCACGCGCCTGCTGTGGCCATGCCAGGATGTGGTCTTAGCCAGGCCCTGAGTGAGGGCCCGGCCCTGCCTTCTTCACCAGTGGCTCACCCCCGTGAGAACACCCCCTCGGACCTTCCCCACTGGGGAGGCCGAGCCCCGAAGGGGGGGGGGGAGAAAGACCCCCACGGCCACCAGAACCAAGTTTGGGCCGTCTGGAGGTCTTGAGCCCCCCTCCCCCCACAAACACCTAAACCACACACACTCGAGAAGCCACAGCAGTGACTTCCCTGGAAAGTTCCAGCCTCCTCCTGGGACAGAAGCATCTCTACACCGAGCGCGTCTCTGCCCGAGGGAATGGCGTGAAATCCAGCCGTCTGAGTCCAGGGCCCCAGAATGCACTGTGCCCTGTGTGGACACCTGCCCTGGGTGGGGGTCGCGCCTGTCTCCCCCTCCACTGTCAAACGGCAGGAGCTCCAGAAAGCACACCCCTCTTTAAGGGGACGTGCTGGCCACAGACAGGACGCACGGAGAACCCCACTACACGCCCGCCGTGCCTCCTGCACGTTCAACTAGGAGGGTGGACGAGACGACACAAAGGCGGGAGGGAGGCAGGGGCCGGAGATGACCATGGAGCCCGGTTAAATCTCCATTAGCCACACGCTTTCCGGACACTGTGTGGTTCCCACACATCAGCAGGCGGAGGCCCGGGGGTGGGGGTGGGGCCCCCCGGCTCCCGGGAGACTGGCAGGCGGGCCAGCCCTGAGGACAGCCAAGGCCAGAGCGAGAGGGAGCTCAGAGCCTGCGTGGCTGACATTCTTGAGTGAACCCCAAGGATGACTCACCAGCAGCTACGGGACCAGCTAGCTTCCCGGGGCGGAAGAATGGCCCGGGCGTGGGGCAGGCTGGGAGCAGCCCCAGGGCCCCCCACCACGGGTCCTGAGGAAAGTGAGGCATGGCCACCAGCCCACACCACGGGCAGAGCAGGACACACGGGGGCCCAGCCCTGTGGCTCCACGGCCCCCTGGCCATTCCCCGCTTCCCGGAGTCTCACCGAAAGCATGTTTTAAAAACGTGTTGAAAATCCGGAAGATTAGTGACCACTGCATGGAAAACCAACTCATCGTGACTTATTTCCAGGGTATTTGTGACGCGCCCGGGTTGGCTGCGGTGGATGCTTCACTGGGTTAGCGGTTTCTCCTCGGAGGTGGCCGCTGCCATTGTGCCCACGCCACGGGGAAGGCCACAGGCCCAGGGGGGTGCTGCTTGGGGCCTAGGCTACATCGGCGACGGGAAACTCACCCCCGCCCCAGGCAGGCCTCTCCTCCGCTCTCCCTCCAAGGGGCCTTCCCCTGGGTGTGGGCCCCCCCAGCCGCTGCCTCTGAGCCCTCGTACCCGGGGATCGATGACCAGGTAGGTGCGGATGTTCATCTCCTTCAGGTAGGGGTCCCGCAGCTGCCCGTGCCCGTCCTCCACCTCATACGTCTTGTCCAGGTGGTTCAGCGTCGCCTCTGTGATGTGCACCCGGCTGGGGGAGACCCACGTCAGGTGGAGCAGCAGGGCCCAGAGAGGGCTGGCACCACCTGGGGGTGCACAGCAGCCAGAGCCCAGCAGCCTGACATGCAGCTGCTCCACCCACGGCAAGGTCACTGGTCCCACCTCTGACCCCGCCTGATACCCCAGCCCAGAGTGGCCCCTGGCCCGACCCCCAGCTTCCGGCTGAGCCTCACCCAGGGACTCCAGCGGCCTCCATCCTGTTGGCGAGGGACACATCGTGGGACCACACGTCGTACTGCCACTTGCGCAGCCCGATGACACCACACAGCACGTTCCCCGAGTGTATGCCCACACGCATGCTGATGTCCACGCCCGTGGCCTCCCGCACCTGCCTGGGGCGGCAGGAGGGTCACCTCACCCAACCAGGACTGCCTTGGGGCCCTAGGCCCTAGACCACTGGAGCCCCAGTGTGGGGACGGCACTGGGCGGGGCAGAGCAGGGGTGGGGGGAGAGGCAGGAACAGGGCAGGCCCAGCACAGGGAGCATGGCCTCAGCCTGCCGGAGCTGCCCGTGCCCCGTCCTCACACCCTGGGCTTGACGCTCGGAGCCCCAGTGGGAGGGACGCAAAACAGACAACTAAGTGACCCAGGCTAGCCACCCGCACATCCCCACCAGCCCTTCGAGGCAGGAGGGCGCCGTCCCGGGATGGCCCCAGTGCCCCAGCCTGCCCCGGCACCTACTTGATGGCCTCACACATGTCCAGCCCCATCTTCACACAGTTGCGGGCGTGGGTGGGCAGGGACACGGGCAGGCCCGACACGCAGTAGTAGCAGTCACCCAGGATCTTGATGCGCATGCATTCGTTGGCCTGCAGGGCAAAGCGGCTGGTGGGTGGGGGCCTGGGGTCACCGGCCAGCCACCTCCCCCGCACCCTCCAGGGGAAACCAGGCTCCTTCCAGGCCAGGGGCTTGCTCCTGGGGTACCAGCCACCAGTGGCTGCTTCTGGGCCTGGAGAAAGGATCGGGAGCACGGTCCTCTCCACTGAGGGTGACGCCCTGGTCGCCCTGGAGGGGGCGCTCCCTTCATTTCGTTCATCCATGAGCACCTACCGAGTGCCCTGCCCAGGCGCCTGGACAGCAGTGAACAAAGACAAACCACCCCCAGCACGAGCTCACACACTGGTGGCAGGATGGACACGACGCTGATAAAATCCACGTCCAACAGTGTAAGCGCGGAGGAGGAAGACGAGGCGTGGGAGGGGAGAGGAAGTTCCCAGGAGGCCAGAGAGCCTCTCTCAGAGAAGGCAACGTTCCAGCAAAGACCTGAAACACTGAGGATAAGCCGTGCAGGGTCCGGAGGCAGAGCATGCCCAGCAGGAGGAGGAAGTGCACGTACAAAGGCCCTGAGGCCGGAGGGCAGAGGCAGCCTGCAGTGTGGCTGAAGGGGATCGAGCAGGGGAGACGAAGAGGTGGCAGGTGCCACAAGCTAACGGGTCAGCAGGTGTGCAGGAAAGTCAAGACATGGCATGCTGCTAGGGCTGCAGGATTTGGGGGTGTGGAGAAGAGCAGGGAGGAAAGATGGGGTGCGAGAGGCTGGAGTCACACAGGAAGATGCCCATGGGGGAGGGGAGGCCCACGCCAGCTGTCAGGTTCCATCTGAGGGGCTTCCGAGGCCACTGGACCCTCTGTAAGCCCCCAGCCAAGGTGGGGTTTTCAGGAACATGAAGGAGGAGCTACTTGCAGGCCCCACCCCCCACGGAGGCCTCAGCAAGCAGCCCTGCCCCTGGCTTCTGGTGGGCAGGGAGGCCGGGCTGGTGCACTGACAGCCCAGCTCTCTCCTGCACAGTCCGCAGGGCGGGCTGCCCTCCTGGCACGGAGGTATCCTCTCCGGCCTAGTGCCCACTCCCTCCCATGCCCGTCAGGCCTGGGGCAACAGCGCAGCGTCAATGACCAGGCAGGGCACCATCCCTCCGTCCAGGCTGCACCCGTCCTGCCTTTCTGAGCAGCCCCTTTCTAAACCCTCCTCCAACGACCCCATCTGCATGTGCACCAGCGGCTCCTGCTGGCACGTGAGGGCTGGCTCTCCCAGAAAGCCGCAGGGAGCCTGAACACGCAGGCACGGATCAGGGCTCTGGCCACCCTCACCTCCCCTGGGCCAGGCACAGGCCTGCCGTCGGGATTTCTACTCCCCAGGCTGCCTCTGCACCCGGCCCACAGGCCCACTGCCTGCCACAAGCCAGGAAGTCGTGCGGGTGCGTTGGGGGCCCTGGGTTCCTGAGCCCAGGCGCAGTGACGCCTCAGACAGCAGGCCCTCTCTGTCAAGAGTCACAGCTCTGGAAGCTGACCGCTGGTAGGACTCTGCCCGTCTCTCAGCTGGGAGGCTGGCGCCTGTCCCCACCTGTAAAACGGGGCTGCCTCCTGGGCCTGCCACAGACGGGGTGCTGTGTCTAGGAGGGCAAGGGCAGGTCCTTGGGATGTGTGGCCGGGAAAGGGCCAGCTATGGCCTGAGACCCTGGCCCCTGCCCCACATATGGCCCAACCTCTGGGAACTGCCACCTGCTGGTTCAAGAGAACGTGAAGGAAGAAGCTGAAGCTGCTGAAGGCCCCTGCTCAACAGGCCCTTCAGTCCACAACACCTGGGGGGTTCTCCAGAGCACTACTGGCCAGTGGCATTCAACTATAATTGAGTCACCCCTGTGACGAGAGGCTCATCGCCTGAGATAGAGGCACTCCCGGTAACCTCCTCAGACTGAACAGCTGTGACCACGAAAATGTCTTGTGTGCACATGAGGTCACCTGGGGGGCATGAACATTCTCAAGGCTGTGGACACGGGTATCGCTCTAAGCTTTTCACAGGACTCAAACATGCAGCCAGGACAGAGCCCCTGCCTTAAATTCTACATGTGGGCCTCTACCCCGCCCCCAAGAAGCCTGCCTGGACCATCTGAGCCTGGGCTAGGTGTTCCCCGGTCCCACAGCCCCCTCTGACCCACAGGGCCCAACAGCTGGGAACTTCACAGGCCCGAGGCCCCGTACAAGCTCAGGGCTGCCACTCAGTAGGGCTTGGGACCATACGTAGGTTAATGAATAACTGAGGCCCCCTCCCCCTAACCACATGTACCTCTGGGTTGGGTGCTGCTCACACAGACAGAACGGAGATCCCAGCTCGGCCCTGTCTGGTCTCCAGACCTCTCCTCCACCAGCTGTGTCCTGGGGACTCTCTCTGCCCACTGACCTCCCCTGCTGGCACCGGAGTCAAGTCCAGGGCCCTGGGTCCATCCCACCCCTTACCCCAGCCCTCAAGTCCTTGCATGTCAAACCCTGTGACCTTGTCCCCTTCACACTCTGCCCCTTTCGCACGGAGCCACGTTCATCCCAAGGGCACTCGGAACTTCCTACGCCAGGGTTTCGCACATGCTGTGTCCTCTGCCCAGAACACTTCGGGTTTCTTTTTAGGGTTTCTATTTAGGGTTCTCAAACTTCACTGTACACATGATACACCTGGAATACTGTCAGAAGGCAGATCTGGGTAGGCTTGGCATTCCACAGTCCCCCAGGCTCCCAGGCGAGGCAAAGGCTGCTAGCGCTGCGCAGTGAGGATGGAGCCGCCGCCTCCAGGCAGCCTTCCGGAGGCCCCGTCTCAGCTCCCGAGCCCCTGCTGTGTACTGCCCGTCTTTCCACTGGCCTCACGTTCTGGGGGGCAGCATTCTAGCGGTGCTGGCCCCCACTCACCCTCCACTTCTGCCACAAGGTGCCCAGAAGCATCTGCTGCCTGAGTCTAAACCCAGCCAGGCCTCCGTGCCCCCCGCAGCACAGCACTGGGCACAGGACGGCTGTGGCGGCGGGAGGGCTCCCGACTCCCACCAGCAGAGGGGGCACCACGGGCCGGCGGGCTCACCTTGGCGATCTGGTCAAACTTTCCGAACAGCTCGTTCAGCATCACCACCAGCTCTTTGGGGGAGCAGTCGCTGGCCAGCCGCGTGAAGCCCACGATGTCAGCGTAAAGAATGCTGGGTGGGGTGGGGTGAGGTGAAGGTCACAGCCAGCCCCGTGAAGACAGGGCTACAGGGACACGGGACCAGCCGAAGCCCGTCGCCCCGCTATTCGGCAGCCTCCACAGGGACAGGGGAGAAGCTCCAGAGGCTTCCCGTGGGCGCAAACCCGGGTGTGCAGGGGCCCGGCCGCTGCAGGTGACTGACTGCTGCTCTCCCCGCGGTGCTCCGGCACCTGGAACCGACTTCTCCTTCCCTGTATCTGCAGTTTCACCTCTGACCCTCCTAGGACTCCCGTTCTACAGGTGAGCAAGCTGAGGCTCGGGGGTTAGGACGGCCGGGGGAGCCCGCGCCCAGTCTGCACCCCCTCCCAGCTCCCCGGGCTGGTTCTGGGCCGTGCATGCACACCAGCCTGGCCGCCTGCCCACCTGACATTCTGGTGCCGCTTGACGTAGAGGCTGTGGAAGTTGTTGTCGGGCACGTAGCGGCGGTCCCCACAGCCCTTGAGCCGCTCGATGATGGTCAGCTTCATGCCCATGGAGATGTGGGCTGGGAGCACCGACAGCAGCAGGTTTTCCTGGGCACCAGGGTGGGGCGGGGGAACGGCAGGGGTCAGGCAGGGTGGCATCAGGCCCCAGGCTTAACCTGCATGTCTCTCCTGTCTGCTCTGCCCATCGCCCTCCACATCTGCTGGCCTACATCCTTCCACCACCCAGCGGGCACACACCCTCCGCGTCCCCAGCTGCCCCTGGGTGTGGTGAGGCCTGCATGGGTGTCCAGCCACGCACCCCCACACCCGCTCTAGGAGCACGCGATGTCGGTGGAGAAAGGATGCGGGGCGTGGGGCTGGGCGCGACGGGGTGGGCCGGAAGGGCTCTAGGGGGCGGGCCCACCTGCAGGGCGTGGGGCTGCGAGACCCTGGAGCAGTGGGGCGGGGCCGACGGCTCTGGGGGGCGGGGCCAGACGGCTCTAGGGGGCGGGCCCACCTGCAGGGCGTGGGGCTGGGTGACGCTCGAGCAGTGGGGCGGGGCCGGACGGCTCTGGGGGCGGGGCCGGACGGCTCTAGGGGGCGGGGCCGGACGGCTCTAGGGGGCGGGCCCACCTGCTGTCGCTTCTCGATGCGCAGCTTCCTGCGGGTCTGGATGCACTTCACCGTGTAGGTGAAGAGGTCGCGGGAGGCGTCCTGCATCTGGTGCTTGTGGAAGGCGCCGGTGAGGTTCCCGCAGAGGAAGATGATGGCATTGGCCAGCAGCTGCAGTGGGAGACTGGGCTCAGGGTCTGGCCTGGTCTGTGCCCTGGGGGCACTGTCCCCCATGATGAGTCCATTCCCTGACCTCTAACCCCCTCAGGCTGCACCCTTCCTGGAGCAGGCAGGGAAACTGAGGCCCAGACAGGGGCTGTCTCCGAGGGAGTCGCTGTGACTACAGGACCAGGGCTCAGGCCTGTCTCGGCATCTGCCAATCATTCCCTGGTCCGGAAGGGCTGGACCCCAGACACCAGGGAAGCACAGAAGGCCCAGCACCCCCGGCTGCCCAGAGCTCTGGCCTCCGCCTCCCAGAGCAGACACCAGACCCAGTCAGGAGGAAAACAGATGTGTGAGTCACCACTAAGTATGAACAAATTTTGCTCACTCAACACAAGACAAAAGACAGGATGGCCAGGGATGGCCCCAGCCCTGTGGGCGAAATCTCAGGAGCAGGGCTCACCCAGGGCAGTGCCCTGCACCCAGGAAGGGGGCCCAAGAGCCAGGGCTTGAGTGAGGAGCTGAGCTTCTGGGTACCACAGGCCAGTAAAGGCCAAAGGCTTCGGAACCAACTCATCCCGCAGGCCTGGCTGCCCTCCACCCAAACCACAGCCCCCACCCAGACCCCTTGAGCAGCTCACCTGCAGCCCCACCCAGCCGCTGGGTGATGAGAAGACCCCCATGAGCGCGCCGAGCACCAGGAGGTGAGAGGTGCTGGAGACGGCCCCCGCCACGACAGCCCCCTGCATGCTGAAGGGCAGCAGTGTGTACACCACGAAGACGATGAACAGGAAGAAAGGCACCTGGGCCTGGAACCCCATCAGAAAGAACATATGTACCCCCATGTTCATAGCAGCACTGTTTACAATTGTAAGATCTGGAAACAGCCCAAGTGTCCATCAGTAGATGAATGGATAAAAAAGCTGTGGTACATATATACAATGGAGTACTATGCAGCTGTGAGAAAGAAACATCTCTTATCCTTTGAGACGACATGGAGGGACCTGGAAAGTATCCTCCTAAGTGAAACAAGCCAAACAGAGAAAGACAAGTATCATCTGATCTCACTTATTTGTGGAATATAATGAACTAAACAAACTGATGAACAAAACTGACCTAGAGACAGAGAAGTAGGGTACAGACTGACAAACCCCAGAAGAGGGGGTGTTGAGGGGGAAGAGATAAACTACAGAACTCATATGCATGTACGCATAACCAATGGACATAGACAACAAAGCTGGGGATGGGGCGGGGGGGGTGTCAATGGGGGAAAAAGGAGAAACATCTGTAACAAAAACAAATTAATAAAAATAAAAAAATTTAAATTTTTTTTAAAAATTAAAAAAATAAATAAATAAAGGCACCTGGGAACAGGCTATCATGAGGTGCATGCGGGACCCGGCCACACCACACCCAACCCAGGACACAGCCACAGACTGAGCTGGTGCCGGGCACAGTCCCCTGGCGGCAGCCCCAGGAACCTGAATCATGAGCCCCGCGGCGGCCAGTCCAGGGCACTGGTGCCCTCAGGGAGGCCCCTCCCTCCCTGCGTGGTGAGACCTGGTGATGGACACCCAGTAGAGAGAGAGAAAGTGCAAATCTGCTTCTGGGTAGACCAGTCAGCTTTATCCATCATTTCCTACAAACTGATTTATGATCTGGGCCAAGGTCAAGCCTCCCCAGGAACCTTGGGCATGACCCGGGGAGCTCCTGCTTGCTGCCCACTGCCCATGGCTCTCCCTCTGAGAAAAGGTAATGACCAGAAGGCTGGGCAGGGCCTGCTCACCTGCACAGCAAGCCCCACCCACCCTGTCTGTCTCAGAGCTCGCCACTGCCCCCACCTGCCCCTATGGGAACAGTGACCTCTGCTCCCAGAGCTTCCAATCGGCATGGCTGCCACAAGCCCCCACCCCCCAGCCCAGGAGTGTCACAGGATCCAGGCCCACCGGTCAGAAATTGCCACCTCTTGGCAACAGTGACCATCCAAGGCTGGGCCCGTGACCCAAGCCAGGCCAATATGACTCAAGCTAGTTGAGAAAGGGCTCTCTCTGAGCTGGGGTGGGAAGGCTGGTGGACAACACTGAGGCCATCTCTGCCCCAACCTGGGCACATCCTGCCTGGGAATGAACAGAGGAGGGCAGAGGCGAGAGGAGCCGAGATGTGACCGCCCTCCTGGGGCCCCAGGACAGACCTCTCAGGCCTTCTGGGCACGCGAGCCAGTCCGTGCCTTTCTGCCTGTCTGAGCTGGAGATGTGTGATTTCCAACCCACTGAGGGTCCACCCAGAAAAGCCGACTCTCCTCCCACCTCTGACCCACCCCACTGGGGCAGAGGACTAACAGGACAAGGTCAGCCCAGGACCCGTCCTAAGTCACAGAACCACAGCCACAGGGGCGGAAAGGGCCTGGGGCCAACACACCAAACGCTGGCCCAGCCTCCAGAGGGACCCGATGCCCGGAGAAGGTGCGGCCAACTAGTGGCATCCAGCCCCCGGGGTGCCAGGGTCCCCTGCCTGTTACCTGCTCCCACGCACAGGCCTCCTTCATCCATGAGTCGAACACCAGCACGTAGCCCAGCGTCACCAGGCAGACCCAGATGAGCAGGGCCGAGGCCCGGAGCCACCGCCGGACAAGGCACTCGACGTAGACCAGCACGTAGAGAACCACAAACACAGCAAGCGTCAAGAACGCCGTCCCCAGGACAGCCTGCTGTTGAGAGGGATCCTGGGCATGGAAAACATACAAAGAAATGCCATGGCTTTGCCCAGTAGGGTGCCACCTCCTCCAGGCAGCCTGTCCAGCCTGCCCTGAGCAGCATCACCCGAGGCTTCCTCCATGGGATGGTGTCTATTCTCCCTCGAAACACCAGGTTGTGTTTTACCTTCAGGCGAGGTCTGTGCTGCTCTCTGCTGGGTCTGCCTGCACAACGCCTTTCCCTAGGCCCTGCGAGGCCCCGCATCCTGCCCAGCCCAGCCCTGCCCCACTCAGTCCCCACCCTCCCCATCAGGCCTCCCTGGGCTCCCAGGGTGCTCTGTGGATACCTGCAGGGGACAGGGACAGGAGAACAGGAGCAAAGCCACAGAGCCCCCCCAGAGGAGCAGCTCCTGCCCCGACTCTTCCGGAGCGGACAGAGATGTATGAGGAAGTGATGAGCAGGCATCCCAGACAGGGGAAGAGCTGCAGCAAAGCACCCTGATACCGGGGACTTGCAGGAAAGACAGCCCCTGGCGGCCCGGGTGGCCCTACGCTCCATGAGCAGAAGCTGAGCTGGCTGTCTGCATACAGCAGGTGCTCAATCGCTACTGGCTGGATGCTGACACAAATGTCCTGCAGTTCACGCAGCACCAACAGAGCACCCACTAGGTGCCAGGCACCTCACCCACATCACCCTGCCAGCACCCCGTGACTTCCTAAGACTCTGCTGTCCCCTGCAGGAGCCCCTCCAAATGTGGCTGTTCAAAATTACGTTTACGTTAAAAATAAGTTAAAAATCACTTTCTCAGCCACATTGGCCACGTTTCAAGGGCTCAGCAGCTGCACGTCGGTCGTAGCTGTGCAGGGCAGGGCCCAGGTCACTGGAGTCGACCGGACAGCTGTGTTCATGGGATTCTGAGACCGCAGGCCGGCTCCGTGATACTGGGATGGATTCGTGCTATCTGCCACGGAGCCAAAAGTGGCAGTGGCAATTCTATTGAGGACTATGGTCCTCAATAGAATAAAATTCTGGCCAGTTTGGCTCAGCGCTTAGAGCATCAGCCCGCCGACCAGAGAGTCCCGGGTTCGGTTCCCGCTAAGGGCATGTACCTCGTTTGCAGTTTGTCCCTGGCCCCAGTTGGCATCGTGTGGGTGGCAGCCACTCGATGTGTCTCTCTCACATGGATGTTTCTCTCTCTCGTCCCCACTCTCTCCCTTCTATTCTATCTGAAGATAAACGCAAAAAAAAAAGACCTCGGGTGAGGATAAAAAAAAAAAAAGGAATAAAGTTCACTGTGGAGAAAAGTGAGGGTAGCCTATCTGGGCAAATCACTGTGAGACGACCGCCACCCCGATTTCAGTTCTGTAAGTCGAAGGCCTGCTGCCGCGGCCCAGCACCTGCAGCGCGGAACGCGGCCCAGGACTCGCCCGGGCCGCCCCAGCCGTCGGCCGAGACCCACCGAGAGCCCGGCCGCGCCCTCACTTACCCCGCGGCTGAAGGCCAAGGCGACCAGGGCGATGCAGGCCGAGATGGCCACCAGCAGGAGCAGGAGCAGCAGCGGCCCGTGCTGGCTGGTGAGGCGGTACTTCTCGTACAGGGCATCCTGGTCCGGGCCCTCCTCGCCCTCGTTGAGGAAGTAGCGCCCCTTGGCTGGCATGCTCCCGCTCCGGCACACCCCGCGGCAGGCCACTCAGGAGACCCCACGGCCCGGGGGCATCTGCGGGCCGACACCTCCCCCGCGGCCTAGGCCTCTGGCCTCTCCGAGCCCGGCAGGTGGGGCTGGGGAGGGGTCCCCTCGGCCGGCAGCTCCATGGGCAGCACGGGGCCCGCTAGCTCCACGGCCAGGCCTTGGTCACTGCGCTGCTGGAATCTTCCTTCGCACCCAGGCCGGGCCGACCGGACGGGCTCCTCAGCTCTGCACACAAAGCGACCTGGATCTGACCTGGATGGGCAGAGTCGGGGAAGGGCTGGCATCAGGGCACAGCCTGGGTCTGCTCTGCCAGCCTTAACCGGGACCTCACTCCAAGGCCCGTTTACAGCCCTGCGCGCCCGGGGCCGTGAGGCCCCCCCGGTGTTTCTAGAACTGCTCCGTGGGCACAGCAGTCACCAGCCACACGGGCTCTTTGTAGTTACAGCTGATGAGAACGAAATGAAAAGCTCAGCCCCTCGGTCACACCGGTCACATCTCAGGTGCTCGGCAGCAGGCTCAGCTCCAGGCTATGACACTGGGCAGCACTGCTCCGTGGACTGTGTGTGTGGTGTGAGGCAGGGGTCAAGCCTCACTGCCTGTCCCCGTGGACGTCTACCCCAGCAGCGGTGACGGAAGCCTCTTCCAGAATCACAGGGGAGCCGCCTCTGTGGTGAGCCAGGGAGCAGTCGGGGGTGTGCTTGGGAAAGACCACACTGCGCCTTGGCTCAGACCTCCGCGCCCGCGTCAGCCGGAGGACGCCCCCTGCATGCATGCTAAGTTCCCACAGAAGACCGTGCTCTTGAACAGGGCCCGCCCATGAGAGGTTAAGAGTCTGCAGGCCCCACTTCACAGGACAAGACCTGAGCCCCAAACCGGGAACGCGGGGACCCTTCGTGACAAAGCTGGGAGCGGACAACAGGCTTGAGGTGCTCAGCCCGGATGAGCGCCCCCTTCCTGGCACCATGCATTCATTTGCTCATTCACTTGTTCCGAAAGGGCTTGTGAATCATGTCCGTGGCATGCCGGGCCCACTGCCTGGACCCGACGCCCCAGCCTGCCCCCAGAGTACCTTTCCACAAACCCCGGGGACAGAATGCAGAACCATGTCTGGGGTGGAGGGGCTGTGCCCCCAGAGTACCTTTCCACAAACCCCAGGGACAGAATGCAGAACTATGTCTGGGGCGGAGGGGCTGTGCCCCCAGAGTACCTTTCCACAAACCCCGGGGACAGAATGCAGAACCATGTCTGGGGTGGAGGGGCTGTGCGGGTCCTGACTCCCTCCAGGCCCAGGCAGGTGTCCACAAGCCTTGGCACCTGTTTGACCTGGACACCCTGCGGAGGTCGGGCCCCAGCTGCCCGAGTGCCCAAAGCACTTAAACAAGCTGCAAATCAGGTTTCCACGTGAAATACCAATTTGTAAACGTTGGCAGCTAATTCCAGAAGTGTGACTGGTCCCTCTAAACCTAGGCTAACCGGACTTGATCCCACGAGAGGCATTTTCTCAGTGCCAACTATACATGCCAGCCTGTGCCACAGGGTCTGTAAAACAGGGCAGGGCCCTGCCCTGAGAAGCCCCCCGTACAGGGCACCCCTAAAGCAGCTATCTGCAGTAGCAACGTTGTCACACTGTACCCACTCCCACCTTTGCACCTGCTAAGGCCAAGGTGTTCCAGCCACTTCGCAGGTGCGTGTCAGCCCGGAGAGGCACCGTGGCTGGTCTACGGCCACACAGCTGCAGCTGGCTGGCAGCAAGGCCGGGACTCAATCTCAGGTCTGCCAGCTCCCGAGCCGGCGCCGCCCAGCCAGGCGCCCTGCCCGCTGCAGAGACGCTTCCCCGGAGCTCCTTCCGGCAGTGGCAGCTCCTGGGGCTGAACCAGCTGCCACCAGTCCACACAGCACTGCCAGCCTCTCCGGCCTGGGGCCAAAGCTGGCGCATCAGGGCTGCCCGACTGAGGACCCCCAACACTGAGATGATAACTCCCACAGCCACTATCCCAGGCAAAACCACAGACACGCACACACGCGCACACACACACGCAGACACAGACACACACATTCGCAGACACACTCACACACACATATACACACACACAGAGACACAGACACATGCACACATGTGCATACATACATGAGCAGAGACAAGCACACACGTGCACAGACACGCATACACACATGTGCGTAGACACAGATGCATGCACACGTGCACAGAAATGCACACACACACAGACACACACAAGCACAGACACACAGACAGGTACATACATACACACGTATACACATGTGCGCACACGCATGCAGAAACGTACACGCACAGACATGCATACACACATGCACATGTGCGCACATACATACACACATGTGTGCACAGACCCACATGTGCATACACATGCATACACATGTACACACAAACATACAGACATGCATACACAAGCAGACACACACGCAGATACACACGCAGACACACACATGTGCGCGCGCGCACATGCAGATACATGCATACACATGCCCAGACACACGCGAAGACATGCATACACACACAAGCAGATGCACACATACACACACGTGTGCAGACACATGCATATACACACAGACACACACATGTGCATACACATGCATACACATGTACACACAAACATACAGACATGCATACACAAGCAGACACACACGCAGATACACACGCAGACACACACATGTGCGCGCGCGCACATGCAGATACATGCATACACATGCCCAGACACACGCGAAGACATGCATACACACACAAGCAGATGCACACATACACACACGTGTGCAGACACATGCATATACACACAGACACACACATGTGCATACACATGCAGACACGCACACACAGACATGCATACACAAGCAGACACACACACATACACACACAGATACACACATGTGCGCAAGACACACACATGCAGATACATGCATACACATGCACAGACACACGCAAAGACATGCATACACACAAGCAGACGCACACATACACACACGTGTGCGCACACACATGCAGATACACAGAGACACACATGCACACAGACACACGCACAGATATGCAGACACACACCTGTACAGACACATACACGTGCAGATACACACACAGACATGCATACATACGCAGACACACACAAGCACAGACACACACGCACAGATACATGCACACACACATACACACATGTGCGCACAGACACACATGCAGATGCACGCATACACACGCACACACATACACACATGTGCGCAGAGACACACACATGCAGATACACATAGACACGCACACATGTGCATACACATGCATACACACACAGAGACATGCATACATATGCAGACACACACACGCACAGACACATGCACACACACGTGCGCGTGCTCTTTGCCGCCTGTGCCCCAGCCACAGACCTGCCCTTCCAGGCACACAAAGCCCAGCTGAGCCAGGCACACGGAGGAAGGGCCCTGTTGCCAGCATCCGTGGAAACCAGGCCTGGTAAACTGCCTCTGAGGGCTCTAATTAGGCCACTTCCCAGGCAACAGCTGCAGGGACAGGAGGTGGGCAATGCCAACACTGGGCATGGAACTCGTCCAGCTCCTGCGCGGGGCAGGGCTGGGCAGGGCCAGGAGAGAGGGCCTGTGAACCCCTCCATCCACCGGCCAGCCCCCGAGGAGCCGCCCGACTTGCCTCATCTGGAAAGCCCTCGTGGTCCCTTGATGGGCCCAGAGCCAGGGGGCAGGGTCCCATGTAGACCAGAGCTGAGTGGGCCCCGAGACGCAGTCAGTCCTACGACAGCCTCTGGAAGGGCTGAGCCAGGAAGCGGACCCTCACACTCATACCTCCACCGTGCCCCAGACTCCACGCCCAGGCCCAGCCAGGCTGCAGGAGGCTGGGGCACCTCCTCTCTCCTGGCCTCGAGACTCCTCCCGGGGAGGAGTTAGGGAGCTCAGGGGCACCCTTAGGTGGAAATTGGTACCAGGAAAAGTATCCTCCTCCTCCAAGCGAGCCCGGTGGGCTCGGAGCTCCCTGCAGCCCCAGGGCCTGTGACAGAGGGTGAAGGATGTCACACACAAAATCCACTGAGCACTCACTGGGTGCCCGGAGCTGTGGGCTCTAAACCCACTCACCTGCCCGGCAGGTGAGGACCACCGCTTCCACCTCGTGGGTGTGGGAACTGAGGCACAGAGAAGTTCAGTCATTTCCCTGAGGTCACACAGCTAGTAAGAGAGCTGGGATCTGAACACAGGCCATCAGGGTCCACCTCTCATCCTGCCCTTCGCCTTCACAGTGCCGACATCCACAGCCCAAAACATCTCACCTGCCAACCCCTTGCTGCTCTTCCCTCTCAAGGCCCCGGGCAAGGTCTGGCAGCCTTCTCTCAGCCAGCACAACCCAGGAGGCCTCTCTTTGCAGGAAGCCCTCCGAGCTATGCCACACAGGACTGCCTGTGCCCTCCTTGCCGAATTCTGACTAGTGAGGCCCAGGCTCCTCAGCCAGAAGAGCTGCTGGACGTCAGGGGCTCGGCCTCAAGTCATGACTGCAAGACCCGGCCCTCAACGGTGCTCAGGAACCCTTCCCCTGCAGAGCTGGCTGGTCTGGCAGCCAGCAGCCCTGCCGCAGCCCTTGGGGACTTCTAGACCACCCCCAGCTCTCACAGACACAGGGCACCCACTTCCTCACCCAAGCAGTGCTGGCAGGAACCCCAGCCCGGCTTCCTCTGGCCTGCAGCAGCCTGGAGCTGCACGGGGCCTGGGCCCTGGGGGCCCAGAAAGAGGAAGTGGGGGCGGGCAGGCCTGAGGAGAGGAGAGGCCCCGCGCAGTCTCCGCCCCGGCCCTGCACCCACCCCCAGGGCGACCGAGCACTGCAGCCGCCGCAGCGCACCCACCTGGCAGGCTGGCCCCCCGGCCGGGTCCCAGGCTTCCCTTTGCTGGAGGAGCCCCATGCGGGCCACTGCCTCAGCAGACTGAGCTCTGTGGACGCGGCCAGCAGCTGCTCTGCCCAGCACAAGCCCGGCACAAAGGGGAACTCGTGGGCTAAGGGATGCCAGCCACACTGGCAGGGAAGCCTGCCTTCCGCCAACACCAGCCTCTCCGGTCCCCGAGCCCTCCCCCTACTCCTCCTCCCCAGGGACACCCCCCGGGAGGCTTTCCCGGGCCCTGCCAGACTCCCAGCACCTGCTCACCCCGCTGCCGCGCCAGGATTTGTGTCTGCACCCTGCACCGAGCCCTGCACACAGGGTTGGGGGCAGAATGGACGGACGGACGGACGGACGGACGGACGGTTGGATGGGTGAACCAGCTGGAATCCTGGACCAGGCGGAAAGGCGGGGAAAGGTGGGGCAGCCCTGGCGAGGAAGGAGGGTCCCCTCAGGGCAGGAAGCCCCCGCCTCGCCCAGGTGAGCCATGCCCGGGAGGGAGGCACCCCGGTTCTAGTCCCAGCTGCACTGCCATGGGTCCTGTGGCCGCCCCACATGGGCTCACTCTCCTCCCCGGCACACGTGGTGCTGACACCGAGCTGGCGGCAGAGTGAGGCCCAGGTCCTGACGGCTGACAGGTCGTTGGCAGGACAAGACAGCAGATGAGTCCAGAAAGAAGATTCAGTCCCCAGAGCTGAGGAGGCCCAGCCCTGGGGCAGAGGCCTGAGGGGGCAGGGTCCCCAAGAGCTTGCCACTTCCCCTCCCACCCCCTGGTGGCAGCCATGGATGGGAGCTGAAGTTCCCCAGTGACGGGAGCAGCCCTCCTGCTCTCCGCTCCCCAGAACTCCCGGGCTGACCCCCCAGCCCCAGCCTGGCCCAGAGGCCTGTGCTCCAGCTCAGCCACCATCTGCTCCGGGCCCGGGCAGGGCCCTTGCCTGGTCTGGGCCTCGGTTTCCCTCTTACAAAGGTGTGGTGATGTCAGACCTCTGAGGCCGCGTGGGGAGGACTAAAGAGAAGGACAGAAGAGATGGCAGAGAGCGAGCCTGACGCTGCCACCTGACCCCGGAGGGGGCGGGCAGGGAGTTCCTCTTCCTGCCTGAAATCCTCAGCCTGCTCTCCCTCCAAGCATCACCCTAGCCAGCTGATCCTCTTTAAAATGCAAATACCCCATTTACCCCTCAACCCGAGGCACCAGCTGCCAGGGATAATAAATCGGGTTTGCTACCTCTGTGCGGATTCTAGTGACCGGGAGGTGACGGGGAGGTGACGGGGAGGAGTCCACCCATTCCCCTTGAGAAAGCAGCGTGGATTCATTCATCAACATTATGCATAGAACCTTCCCTGTGCCAGGCCCCAATGAGGTGCCAAGAGGCAGGTGCTCCAGGCACAAGCTCCCAGAAGGCGGGGGCCTCAGTACCCACTCCCCCCAGGTTGTCTGCAAGGGCTCTGCACTCAGTGGGTGTTTGAGCAACAGTGTCGACTCACTGGCTGACCAATCAACCAGGCACCCCTACTGGGAAGAACAGTATTTTCCCCGACTCTTGCCTGAAATTTCACCATTAGTGATTCATTCCTTTAAGACTGCCTCACTGGGCTCCCCTCGCGGGATGGAAACTTTCATGCCCATGTGTAACACGTCTGATCCCTTTCCCTGGGTAAGGAAAACAAAGGGGAAGTCCAGCCGGCCTCTGGGAACCTTACGAGATGCCAGTTCTTCTAGGATGGCAGGCTGCCCACAGCCCACCCGACAGCAAGGCACCAAAGGGGGCGGGGGTGGGAGAGGATGCATCTCAGTATACCACTGTCTGAGCAACCACTGACCTGGCCGGGGCCAGAGGGTTCGAGTCTGCAGCCCTGCCCTGCGGCCAGCCTGCTGCAGAGGCTAGAGACAGAGCAAGCAGGGTTCATGATTTACACCAGGACAGTTGCCAGAGCCAGAGACCACGAAAGAATTCCCACGGAATGCTGTCGTGACTCCATCCTTTCTAACCTGCCACAAAAAAACTAAAAGCCATCATGAAAAGACTGGTAAGTTCAATTACATTTTTAAAAATTTTTCTACACAGTAAAAACTATCGAAAGCAAAACCCAAAGATGAGAGATTAGGAAAACATGTGCAACTCATATCCCGAGGAATTAATCTCCCTCCTATGCAAAGAGCTCCTACAAAAAATTTCAAGAAAAAGACCAATAACCCAGTAGAAAATGGGAGAAGGAGATGAACAGAACGCTGACAGGCACGTAAACACTTGGAGAGACGCTGAGCCCCCACACACACCACGTATGATAAGAGAAACACCCAAAGTCCAACTACTAAGGAGAGTTTCACATACCCCACCAGCAAAGATCCAAGCGTCTCAGAAACCTGCGCTGGCGGGGGCAGGGCAGAAACAGACACTCACACGCACTCCTCACAGGAGTGTGACTCAGCACCGCCCCCGAGAAAGGCCCGAAGTCATATCTAACAAAGTCGCTAACGTACACAGACCTTTGACCTAGCAAGTCTACTTCAAGGAATTTATCCCACACACTTTCAGGTGCGTGAAATGACATGTCCGAATCCTTGACAGAGCACAAGGCATCGAGCAGGCAGAAGCTGGTGAATACGTCAGGATACACCCTCACAGTGGAATACTATGCAGCTGTCAAAAGGGTGCACCAGCTAGAACAGTCCTGGGGTATCCTGTAAAAAATCCACGTGGCAACAGTAATGCCTGAAAGAGAGAGGATGGAGCCCGGGCATGGAAAAACCAAACTGTGGCTTCGACAGAGTGACCAAATGTTCCTTCTCTTCATCTTCACTTTCTACTGTCACGATTAGCTGGTGCAATTTTTTTTTAAGTTTTTAATAGAAAAACCAAGGTCTACTGTATACACCGTGTCTATAGTTAACAATACTGTGTTGTGTACTTTGAAAATTTTTAAGAGAATAGATTTTATGTTATCACAAAAATAATAATAGAGTGAAAGAAAACTTTCGGAGGTAATGAAAGGGTTATGGCACATGAGTACACACTTATCTCCAAACTCATGAAGTTGTCTGCGTTAAAAATGTGCAGCTTTTTGCCCTGGCCGGTTTAGCTCAGCGGTTAGAGTGTTGGCCCGTGGACCACAGAGTCATGGGTCCGATTCCAGCCAAGGGCACATACCTCGTTGTGGTTCATCCCCGGCCCTGGTTGGGGTCGTGTGGGAAGCAGTCAGTCGATGTGTCTCTCACATCGAAGTTTCTCTCTCTCCCTCCCACTCTATCAGAAGATAAATGGAAAAGTATCCTCGGGTGAGGATTAAAAAAAAAAAAAATAGAGCTTTTGATACGTCAATCACAGCTTAATAAAGTGGTTTTTAAAGTCAATTAAAAAATTAAGACACTAGCCCTGGCCAGTTTGGCTCAGCGGTTAGAGCGTTGGCCTGCGGTCCGGAGAGACCCGGGTTCGGTTCCGCTAAGGGCACGTACTTCGGCTGCAGTTTGTCCCTGGCCCTGGTTGGTCGTGCGGGTGGCAGCCACTCGATGTGTCCCTTCACGTCGATGTCTCTCTCTCTCTCTCTCCCTTCCTCTCTCTCCCTCCCACTCTATCTGTACAAAAAATGAAAAAATATCCTCGGGTGAGGATAAAAAAAAAAAAAAAAATTAAGACACTAGTATAAAAACTGAAAGGGCACTATAAGGCAATTGATAATTAAAGTGACACTAAGTTTAACCTGTTAATGTGGAAAGACGTGTTCCTAGCACGTTTGCTGGTGTGTGTTTGCACGTGTGTGTGTGTGTACATAAAAATACATTTAAAATTTTCAAAGAAAAAATAAATCTTAGGTGCATGGTGTCTAAGCTGCATGACCCTGAGGAAGTTACTTACCCCCTCTGTGCCTCAGTTTCTCATGTGAAGAAAGGAGAGAATAATTCTGAACACACAGGGCTCTGAGAGGATCCAGTGGGGCGACAAGGACACAGCACCGAGGTTGCACCTGGCCCAGAGGACCCAAGTCGAGAGGACACACGTTATCAGGTTGGCAGTGAGCCTGGAACCTGCCCCTTCTGCTCCACCCTGACCGAGTGCTGAACCACCTCCCCGGAGAGCGGCCTGGCCTCGGGGGGCGGAGAGAACTGTGCGCAGAATCTCAGGCCTGCTGTCCGCATGGCTGACAGCCCCAGGAGGGGCCCGGTTAGGCCTCGAGAAAGTAGCTGTCCACTGGGGTCAGCATCAGGTCTCCACCCCAATCCCTCGAGGTCTGTTGACAGGATACAGCGTAACACCCAACCCTGAAGACACACTCTGTGACCTCTGAGCCCAACAGAGATAAAGAAGGCAGAAAACCAGCCAGGCTGGCGTCCCCGACTGTCAGCCTCTGAGAACCTCCACCAAAGTGAGCAGGACTGGGGTGGACGGGGCAAGGTCCTTCCATCCTGACCCCCAGGTGAGGGTGGAGTGGCTCTCACTCTATTTCCAGCCAGGGAACGACTCTGGGGTCCTAACCTCCTTGTCCAAAGCCCCCTGGCTGGGAAGCAATAGAGCTGAGATTCAAACCCAGACCTCCCCACTCCAAGGCCTGGGCTCTTTCCAACTGTGTCTGCATCTCCTGAGACATGCTCTGGCCCATGGTGGGGCCATGAAAGCTACACACACAGGGCCACACTCTACACCAGCTTCTGGTCACAGGCAAGGCAAGTTAATATGCTCCTCCTTTAAAGATTTCTTGAGCACATTAGCAAATCAAAGGCTCTGACAAGTCCTGCAGGGAAAGAACTTGCTGAATTAAACACAGCTAAACATCTCCCAGTCTTTTCGGTTCAAGGGACTCTTTTTTGCATGAAGTCCCCAATGAACCCTTTGGAGTCTCCCAGAGTCAGCTCAGAGCTTCTCCCCCAAGAAGACTTCCTGGACACCAGAGGCCACGACCTGCCCTTTCCTCCTCTGCCAGCCTGGGGGCTCCCTCAGGCTGGGGCCCCCACTCCCCACATCCTGACTCTGGGTAGGGCGAGATGGGCACAGGGAGGGGGGCAGCCCTGAGCTCGGCCTCTGGGGTAGGTGTGAGGGGAGGAGCCGAGAACACGCCTGGGGGACAGCCCTGGCCCTCAGGTAGTTCTCAGCTGGGGGGCAATCTGCCCTGGAGAAGAACAAGCAGGGACTGAGCTCTAAACACCAACCAGGACAATCGCCTCCTGTCCCACTTCCTGCCCCTCCCGTGCATTGCAGAAAGGTGGCCTCCTGCCTCAGTCTCCCCACCTGCCCCTGGCGAGCAGTGAAGGGGCCCGAACACTGGGCTGTTAGGAGACAGTCTCAGCTCTGCCCCTCACCTGCCCTGGGCCCGATTCCTCCAGCATCTGCGAGGGCCCTTCCCATTCAGACTAGCAGAGCAGCTGGCCAGAGAGGGGTCAGTGGGCAAGGCACCCCCCCAGAACTCGCAGGCTGCACTGGGGGCGGCCATCCCCAGGGCTCAGTGAGGCACCCACTGCCTGGCCCAGAGGCCCCCAGTTTGGCTCCTGCAGCACCAGCCATCAACATTCACAGCCCCAACCCAAGGGGCTGAGACCCCCCCGCCCTCCTCCAGGTTCCTGAGCACCTGAGTGAGGTTAAGGGGCGTGCAAGGGGCGGGGCTGCCTGGTGAGGCCCAGCCCAGAGGCTGGGAGAACCTTCTGCAGGGAAGCAGCCCCAGCCGAACACCCCCAAACCACAGCTCGGCTTCCACAGTGGCACCCACATGGGGGCTCGAGAGGCCCTCCTACCGCCGGCCCTGGAGCGGAGCGGCCCGTCCTGGGTACTCACTCCTTCCTTCCACAAAGCCCTGCTGGCCGGAGCCAGGGCTGGGCTGGGCGTGCCAAATGCCTGACAGAGACTCAGCCCACAGCATCCCCACGTCCTCCAAGCTCCCTGAGACAGTCCGCCAGGGCTTCCCACACCTGCCCAGGACCCCAAGCACACTCAGCCCAATCCTGCTCACCCTGGCCAAAAACCTCCTGAGGGCTCCCCAAGGCCTCCTTCAGGGCTGCACGATTTGACTTATTCCGGTTCCCCAAACAAGCCCCACCTCCAGCCTCCGGCTCTGGCAGCCCGAGAGCACAGCCCACCTCCCTCCGCCCGGCAGGCTCCTGCCCGCCCTCCCGAGCCAGCTCAGCTGCCACCTCCTCCAGGAGGGCCGCCGATCTCCACTACTCTGGGTGCAGAGCCTGCCCCAGCAGCATCCCCGTGCCTGTCCTCCCGCAGCACAGGGCCCTGGCCTGTCACTGCCCGGCAAGGGGACACCTCCCCCAGGGCTGAGGCCTGGCCACGCAGTGCCCGGCGTCCGGGATCCAACACGGCCTGGCACACAAACTGGCCACCAGCGGCTGGGCCCCGACCCGGGCGTGCCAGGCCTGTCTGCATGAGCTCTGGCAGGCCACCTGCCTCTCAGGACTTCCACCTGAGCGACGGGGATGGAAACGCCCCCACTCCCCAGCCTGTTCGGGCGGAACGATCTCAGGGCTACGGAAACGCCTCATCGTCCTGCAGCTGCACGGCAGGGCACAGGGAACCGGGCCCACTGGGCTCGTGCCCATGCGGGTGCCCAGAGAGGCAGTGATGACACAAGACACACGGCAACCAAGACCCACGTGGGCCCTGGCAGAGCTCAAGCCTGGGGCGGGCGGGGCAGGCAGGAAAGCCCGCCGGTTGAGAGCGTGGGCTCGGGGGTCAGCAGCTGTGAACCCGAGTTCCACAGGAGAGGAGCTGTGTGACCCGGGGTGGGTGCACTGACCTCTCTGGGCCTCCGCTTCCTCACTCACAGAATGGACTGATAACGGTACCTAGTGCCCAGGGCTTCGCACAGAAGCTGGCACACGGGAGTGCCATCCTCCAGGGTCACCCGGCGGGCTCCAAACACGAGGGGTGGGCGGCCACAGAAATCCTGACATCAGTAGGCACTGGGGACACACTTCAAGTCCCAGGGGGCGTGGTCTTACTTCCTGCCAGCCCCCAGAAGGCATTTTTTCTCTTCCCTTGCCCAGAAAGTGGGGCCTGGCCAAGAAATGCTGATGAGCTGCCCCCAGGCCCTGCCTGGCACTCAGGCAGCCCCTCCCCAGGGAACCGGCTGCGGCTCAGCTCCGGGAGTCTGGTCGTTGCAGGAGGGGCCACAGGAAAGCAGCACCTGCACTGACCCTCAAAGGCCCCTCCCCAGCGGGGTCAGGGGGCAGGACTGGGAGGTCAGGAGCAGGGAAGGCAGAGCCTGCAGAGCCCGGGCCGCTCAGGGAGGTCAGCAAGAGGAGTCGGCCTGTCCACTGCAGAGTCGGGGAGACAGGCCGGGAGGAGGGAAGACGCGTCCCTAGCCCACACCCCCACTGAGGGAGGCCAGGGGAAGTGCCCACTTCACAGCTCCGACCAGGACACTCCCGAGTCCGGAGGTCCTGGTGGTGGGGTCCTCGGGGCCTGCTGCCCGTGCAGAGAGCAGCCGCACCCAGGACCCTGGGCCTCACCTGCTGCCAGTGATGCCCGAAGCCATGCACCTGAGGCAGGAGACTGGGGCACTTCAGAGGGGCTGGGGACATCCCTGAGGGGGGGGAAGGGCCTGGACCCCGGGGACGGAGGCCTCCATCGGGCTGTCCTGAGGTCGGAGGGGATGCCTTCAGCAGCACGCACCCCCTGGGGGCCTCACACTCCTCAAAAGTCAGGCCTGCCTCACTGCCAACCCCAAGCGCCAGCAGCCTGCACGAGCACGCCCGCCCGTCACCTCCAGCCGGGCCCAGGAGGAAGCCAGAAGAGGTGGCCTTGGGGGCCAGGAACATGGCTGCGAACTGGGGTACCTGAAGCAAACTCCTCAGTTTGCTTCCTGCCCCCAGGCACGTTGCAGGGTATCTCCTCCCGTGGTCAGTGCAGGGAGGGGTGCAGACAGGCATGAAGCGGAGGACGGAGGGTGCTCCGTGTCCCCCAGCACAGGCACCAGCGAGACAGCCATGGGGGGGGTTCCAGGTGGATGCCACCTCTTCTCCTGAGCTCGGGGACTCTGAAGGGGAGCCCTCGGGGGCGGCACAAGCCAGGAGGGGACAGTGGGCCAAGCAGGAGCCAGTCGGGGCCCAGCCCGAGTACACGAGAGGCCACAGAGACAGGACTGGGGTGCAGGCTGCCAGGAGGCCGGGAGAAGGGGTCCAGCACACACCTCAGGGCAGACTGATCAGACGGGCGTGTGGGGGGAGCCCGGAGCCCCACAGCCTCTTCTCCGGGCCCCGGTCCGCCATCCCTCCATCTGAACCACAGGTCAGCTCAGGTTTCCCTTCCCAGCATGGGGCTTGGCTGGTGCTCAGAAAACACCAGGGAATTACACCTGTCAAAGAGGTCAGCGGACGGCAAGAGAGGGGACAGTCCCAGGTGTCACACGAGAAGGGTCACCAAAGAGGAACTAAGCCCACCTCTTGCCCAGGGCTCACCACTGCCACACCAACACCCAGATGGCTCCCAGGGTGGGCGCAGGGCGCCTGGGGACGGGGGAGCAGGGCTGGAAGCTGCTCTGCACCCAGGTGTGCCCAGGGGTGCGCCCAGGATTGGGCAACGCCAAGCCATGACGTGGCCAGTTGTGAAATCCGTGGGCAGCGCAGGTGCAGCCGGATGCTGCTGGCTTTCAGGTGGGCACGCTGCACCATCGTTACCGGTGGGCCAGTGGACCACACGGCAGAGCAGGGGCTGGCAGGAGGGCTCCATTGCCAGGAAAACCCTGGGCCTGAGCTTGGTCTCAGATGCTTTTAACTCTCCCAGAAACCCGCCCGGGCACTGCCAGTCTACAGATGAGGACACAGGAATGCTGACTAGGCCGGGGGTGCAGGCTGCCAGGGAGGCCCCTCACCAGCCCTGCCCACCCTCCCAGGACGTGTCCACCCCCTGCGCCAGGCAAGACGGGGGTGGGGGCAGAGCCGAGACGCAGCGGTGGCAGCAGTGATGCCCCGGGCCAGGCACAGGGCGGCGTCTCCTCGCTGGGTCCCCAGCACTGCACTCTGGGGACCACGAGCAGCCCCTTTCACAGACGCCAGAATCTCTCCAGGCCTTGCCCGCCCCCCACACCAGAGGCCACCCCGCGCCTGGAGGGAGGGGCTGGCCCCAGGATCACCTAACACCCCCGCTCCTCGGGCTGTTCAGATGTGTCTTCTTCACTCCTGTGACCTGGGCCGAACGAACCCAGCTCTGGGCCTCCAGATCTCGGCTACTTAGGGTTCGTCAGGCAGAGTAAAAGCCCAAAGGTCCCCGTCAGCACCTCCTGCCACCCTGAGACCTGACCCCACGCTCGGCCAGACCCGCTGCTGAGACGGGCGCCCAGTGAGACCAGGCTGCCTGCTCCCGCAGAGGCCTGGAACTTTCCAGCAGGTTACATTATCGGGCGACGCGGCAAAGCTGCCGTCAGCTCAGAGTCAAAGTGCCCAGCACCCTGTTCCTCCGGGACGGGAGGGGGAGGCGAGGGACAGCGCGGAGGGACGGCCACCTGGCCGCGATCCTGGAGGTGACGCGAGCCCGCGTCCAGGCACACTCAGCCCCGGCCACCGCGGCGGGTGCAGCCCAGGGGCCGGCCCGGCCTCCCTTGGAGGGAAAACGTCCTCACTCCGCCAGGGGGGCCCCCACGCACCCCACCTCTCCAGACAGGCCGTGTCCTGGGCTCGAACGCGCAGCTCTCAGGAGAGGTGTGTGGGTGGACGCCCGCTGGGCCTGTCTTCTCTGTAAACTGGGGACAGAAGTCACAGGGTGGTGGGGAGAGCAGGGGCCCGGTTAAAGCAACAGTCACAAATTGTAAAGAGGGGTCCGAGTCCCCAAAGCAACATCAAGTCAGACCTTTGTCTCCTCTGCAGCGTCCCTGCGGCCTGTCTGGAGGCTCCTCCTGCTCACCCCACTGCTCCCTGTCCCCAGGAGACGCCATCCCCCCAGACCCTGGCAGAGGCCCTCGGCGACCACCCGCACCCGCCACTCCTGGGACACCGCCCTTCTCCACAGAGACTGCTGGAGATACCCCAGTTCTCACCTCCCCTCCCGAGGGCCTCGAATCCGGAAGAGCCCAGAACTCCCCCTCCCTCCACCGCCACCCCACACGGGGCCACAGGAAAACCCCAGAGGGCCAGGCCCGTGGGGGGCCGGCAGGCCTGCAGCTGGCACCCCAGACCCCCACTTCCTGCCCGCCGGCCCCCTGCACTTTCTCTCAGGCCTCCACTTTTCACTTCAGTGCCTCCCTGGGCTTGTCCCAGGCAAAGCACACTCACCAACTCACAGACTCTGAGCCCTGTGCACCGGCTTCTTTCTTCCGAAACACAGGAAAGTCAAGTGCTAACAGTTTAAACACCCCCGGGCGCGGGGGCTGCGGCAGAGGGCCCGGCGCAGGTCCCAGTCCACGGAGGTCACCAGCTGCACTCGGCGGCCGTCCCCTGCCCTTGCCCCTCCCCCAGGGCCGGCCCCAGAGGAAACCCCCACCCAGCTGTCCTGCCCGCCATGTGGTGACAGGGAGGGGCTCCTGCTCCCCCTGCGTCTGTGATGAGCATGTGTTTGATGAGCATGTGGAACCATCCGGAAGGACCCACTCGCAAAGGTTCGCGAGTGGGTTGGGAGAGGCTGGACAGACAGGGAGACGAGTTCGTTTTCGTTAGGCATCTTGGTTCTCTGTCTCAGCGTGAATCACTTCCAGAGTTTGGGCTTTTCGTCTGTTTTGTTAACCTAATAAAACAAACTCCCTTGCCCGCCCGCGCTGACGCGGAGCCATTGAGAAAAGCACGCGCACTTGTAGTGTAAACGGCAGCCCTGGAAGAATGTGGGCTGAGTGGTTCACAGAATTCTAGGTGCCACGGGCCACGGGAACGTCCGCCGAAGTAACGGCACCTTCCTGTTGGCTGCAGAAAGCCAGCGACAGGTTGCCTCTGGGCCTCTGCCCAGGAGCCTCCGCACCCGGCTGTCTGCCCAGGAGGCTCCGAGCGCCTCCGCCACCCCCAGCCCAGACCCTGGCCCTGTCCGTCCGCTGCCCGGCCGGCCAGGTCTGCCTGCGGGGGCTGTTGTCCAGCGGTCCCCTTGGGCCCAGGCCACTAGGACAGACTGCAGCAACCCG